GTTATGGAGTCCGTGAAGAGATTGACTGTTATCTTGGGGAGCCCAGATGTATGGATCACTTTGAAAAGCTATGGTTCAGCCCTAGCTCAGGTCATTGCGTCTCCTTAATAGTCACCAGACAATGCACAAAAAATAAGTTAGTTTAAAATTAAAAAAGGAAATGGATATATTTCATGTATATAGCAAATTTCAGTCATAACTCGGATCACCAACCCAGCATAAGAACCCGCCAATTAAATGAAACATTTTGATATTCTCATCTAAGATGGAACAAATTACATGATATTACATGATTTTTAGCAGTACACATTATGGCACATTGACAACAATATTGATTAATACAATCCAAGACTGTTAAAAATAACCAGTCAAAAGTAAAAACACCAACATTTCTCAGTAACTCCTTCTCACGATTACTAATAAATATAGACAGTGATTAGGCCATATCGGGCGTTTTAACAACTTTACTCCGTATAAGGTTATGAACAACAAGCCACTGATATGTAAACAACGACAATTTTTAGTTTTTTTAGTCTTCATCTTTTTGACTTTAAGTACTTTTATGCCACGGTATTTTCGCCAGTATGGGGACGTAGGTAGAGAGGTAGGGGTCGAGACTAAGACGTTGTACCATAACAAGGCAATTTTTCGTAGATTGAAACGCTTTTTAGATCTCGAGACTAGGACGTTGAACCATAACATGGCAATTTTACGTAGATTGAAACGTTTTTTATACCTCGAGACTATGACGTTGTACCATAACCTGGCAATTTTTCGTAGCTTGAAACGCTTTTTTGACCTCGAGACTAGGACGTTGTACCATAACATGGCAATTTTTCGTAGCTTGAAACGCTTTTTGGATCTCGAGACTAGGACGTTGTACCATAACATGGCAATTTAACGTAGATTGAAACGCTTTTTAGACCTCGAGACTAGGACGTTGTACCATAACATGGCAATTTAACGTAGATTGAAACGCTTTTTAGACCTCGAGACTAGGACGTTGTACCATAACATGGCAATTTTTCGTAGATTGAAACGCTTTTTAGACCTCGAGACTAGGACGTTGTACCATAACATGGCAATTTGACGTAGATTGATACGCTTTTTATACCTCGAGACTAGGTCGTTGTACCATAACACGGCAATTTTTCGTAGATTGAAACGCTTTTTAGACCTCGAGACTAGGACGTTGTACCATAACATGGCAATTTTACGTAGATTGAAATCTTTTTAGACTTCGAGACTAAGACGTTGTACCATAACATGACAATTTTACGTAGCTTGAAACGCTTTTTAGACCTCGAGACTAGGACGTTGTACCACAACATGGCAATTTTACGTAGATTGAAACGCTTTTTAGATTCGCAATATCAATACTCTTAAAGACTCACGTTTTCTGCTAGCTGGTGCGGTCTAACTCGGCAATCAAAAATGTCAGACCGCCCCCCATAATAACCCCCCCCCCCCCCCCTAATAACCCCCCCTGTCCCCCCAATAAAAAATAATGACTACGCCCCATGAAACTTCCTCGCTAAGTCCCTGTCGCCAGTAACCCTGGCCTTCCTCGCCCATGAAAGCAAAAAACAGTATTTATAAAAATATGTACAATTCAGAATTAATCTAAATATTGAAATAACTTGAGCATATTCTGGGCTACGAGGCGGACAACTGTTCCAGGTATGTTGAGACAGACATACAGAAATTTGGAGTACATTGAAACGAAGGTTAAATTTCCGTTTTTTTAGACTTAATTAAATCCTCACGTTTTTATTGCAACTTTTAAAATGGTGATTTCCAATCGTTGTCTGTATAAACGTGTCTTGTCTTAACAATTAAACTTTTTTGCGTTTTTGTGAAACATTGTCCGTGATATTTCAAGACATTTAGTGCTTTGTTAAGGAAATGGAATAGGACAGGGTTTTTCTATCTATATAATTGTATAAAGCTGGCAGTTCAGAAGTTGCCGATAATTTTGATCGTGGAAACGCCTCTTTTACTTCTAAGTGGGTGTACGTAATGCACAATTATACTGCGATATAGTTTCAGCAACTCTTTGTATTTTAGTGCTCAAATTGTAAAATCTCTTAGAGGTTAGTCTCTATTTTGTTTTATCTCTGAGTGAGTAAGCGTAATGCTTTCAAAGCTTCACTGATTCTTGGCAGTTCAGAAATTGCCAATATTTTTAATCGGTTAAAAGTCTCTTTTATTTTTGGGTGAGTTCACGTAATGCACAGTTATACAACCTTTTGTGCTTCAGTGCTCAAATCGAAACTTCTCTCAGAGATGAGTCACTTTTATATCTGAGTGAATACGCGTAATGCTCTTATAGTTTCAGCAATTCTAAACATTTCAGTGTTTGCATTAACTTTAATCAAGTGCAGTTTCTATGAATTTCTCTTTCCGTTAACGGTGCGGTGCGCCTATTATTTCGCAGTGTCCTAAAATCGTAAGGTTAGGTATACTCGATTAAATAGTGGTATATGAAAAATAAATCAAAAAATAAACGTCCTAATTGGGACTGTACTGTATGGTTAACTTTACTCAAGAGATGAGTTTCTCCTTCCGTTTATGGTGCGACCATTATATTAACATTCTTTATACCAATGTCGTATGGTTTGGTATTCTCGATTTCAATATCAAGAGTAATATATGAAAAATATATCGAAATAGGACGCTCTAATGTGAACTGTACTGGATGAGACAGATGAAATTCATAAAACTACACCAGTCCCGTAAAACCTACGGTTTTGTATTGCTTCTCAGAATACCAAGAAATTGAAAGGTAAAATTGATGAATGGTTCGCCAAAAAATTTAGCTTATGGTAAAATAAAAAAGTTTGCTATAAACTTGACAAATAAAAAAATCAGGCCAACGGTAAACCAAATTGAACGTTTAGCGATAAACTCCATACATTTTGGACTGGCACAAGGCAGTCACCGGTTGAAAGACAAATTTACGACCCGTAGCCATCAAAGGAACACTAATTTAGTAGCAGTTAAGCTCCGAAGAAGCTCGCGAAACATTAGTGCTTGGAATACAGTTTGAGAAACGTTATACCACACAATGGTGTCAATTGTGAGGCCGTTGGGACACATGAGGAATATCTAAGAGTAATGATACTGAAGCAAAAGTAATGAAAACTATATCGCGCAATTCAAAAATCTTCTTGTATGCTAACAAAAGAACATTTGTGTTAGTGTGTAGTAATCATTGCAGTCTGACTAAACAATAGTACATGAATTCCACTAATTTTACAACTTTTTTATAAGTACTTCAAGTACTTTATAATGTGTAATACCGATGTATTAGGTGTAGTTTTACAAATATCCTTTAGTTATTTATTATTATAATATATATTATATTATATTTATTATATATATATATTTATATATTATATGTCCCGTAACATATGAAATCCATGAGGTCGATTACCAATTTTGTGGGCTTTTTAACAGTACGCAAGCATGTGTAATACTGATGATTAATTTTGTTTATGGAAATGAATCTCGAAACATCGACAAAATTTCACTAAGCCCATGTATAATGCAAACATAATACTAACGCAATTTGATCACATTTTGTATGTCCCGTGCTTGATTAGTTGTAGATAAAACGTCGGTGCCTTACTTTGAAGAAATAAGCTTTATATTAGTCACACGTAAGCTGTGATAGATCTTTGAAGTAGGACAGAACGAAATTATTAAAAAAAATTGGAAAATAAAGATGGTGGTCCTCTCGTAGTGTGTGTACCGGGTTAGGTTATAATTTTATTCCAATTTTCTTTATTTTAGTTCCATAACGAGTTCAGAGACTGTCTATATTAGCCAAGTGAATATACCCCTTGCCATGGGTATCAGTTCCTTTACACAACTTGATGTGAAGTAGGCGAACAAAACTAGTTACCTCCATATTGGTACACACGCTTCTGGAGAGCCGAAAATATTAGGGATACAAGAGAAATATATAACAACGTACATAAAGCCCATACCTTAGACTAGTTGTATAGATCTTTGGAGATGGGCGTAGTGGAATTGTTTGGATCTAGAAGATGGCAAGAAGGATCTGAAAAGTTAGAACTTTAATAATCCGCAAGAAATATGCTATCGTTTCTCAACCGTTAAAGAATTCCCCGATAGGGTGAGCTTTTGTAGTTTCATGAAAGAGTAAAGCCACTGATATTTGAAAGCGACTACCCCCACATCAGAAAATAAAAATATAAATATAAATATATTGTCTTATGATTATAGGAGAAGGCCCATACTGTCAAGGTGTAATCTACAATTCAATGGTCCACTCTGTGAAATAACCTTATCAAGCAATGAAACTAGGAAAGACAGGGAGTTTTCTTTTTGTGAAAAATAAATTCAGTGTTGTGTGTAGCGTAGTGGTCCTCCCCCAACTGTTTTGTGGCCCCATTAGAAGCCCGAGGGCATCCGGTATGGAACAGCTAGAGTCCAGGGCTACTCAACTATTTTTACCGAAGATCAGCATACAAAACTTCAAAACTATTTGGGTCCGGTCTTTCCAGAAATTATATTTCGGCATCCTTAAACGCGCACTTTCTCGACCGGCTAATGATTATTAGCTAATCAAGTTTGATTATTATGACGTTACAGTTCATTTCGTATATATTTAAATCTATAAAAGTGATTTTATGAAAGGAAACTTCAAAAGTGGGGCTAATGATCCAAAATAAAGAATTAAGCGCGTTACGAATCAAATACTCGGAAGGTCCGGATTTGGACCGCGGCTAGACTACATATTAGTCACACGCAAATTGTATGGGTCTTTGAAGCTAAACGCAATGGAATTGTTGATTTTAAAGAAAGAAAGGCCTCAAAAGTTAGTTTGTTGCAGTGTTTCTCATACTTTCATGATTAGTACTCAATAACAATTCAATAATTGTCAATATTTGTGTCGTATCTTTGTGTGAAAAGTCCAATTTTTTTAACGCTTGTGATGTTTTTCAGATTTAGAATATATAGTAGACAAGAAATATTACAGCAACGTTTGGAATTTCTGAAAACCGACACTGCATGCATGGAGCCTCAGGTAAAAAAAATTCAGAATATAATTAATAAATAATTCAGAAAAAAAGACGAAGCACAGGCCTCATGGACTAGGGGCGTACTCTCCTCGTCCTTTTTGAAATGTGAAAAGAAAGCTTTTTTCTGTACCATGCATAACAATCTTCGTATCTTGGAACGCTCTTTAGGCCTCAAGACTTGTGAAAACGCACGTTTCCCGGTCCCGCTGGCTGCTACGGTCTAATTCGGCAATTATAAATTTCAGAAACCATCATTATTAATTGAAATCAAACAAACTAATATTTAACCAATTAGCGGTTAGGAATGATTAGAAAATTTCAATTTCCAGCGCAATCTACATTCTTAACTATCTAACCAAAACCCTGACTGGATAATTACTAATTTTCTTATTTTGAGCTTTTTTTTGGGGGGGAGGGAGGGGGGTATCTTTTCTTTCGGCGGAGTATATGTACAAAAGATCCTCAAAGACTACTAAAATAGTATTTTTTGGGGTGAAAGATTAAGTCAAAGGTCAAATATTTACTTACTTACTTACTTCTTCAACAGATTGCTTCCACAGTATGGCTTCCTCCAGGGACTTGTTTACTAAACTCTATTCCAGCTATGCAAATGCAAGCTACGTCATCAATGACGTCACAAGATCAAATGACATCACAGATGTTGAAGCATCATCAGCAAGTTATGACGCAAACAGGTAATTTTTAAGTATTTTACACTCTCACCTAGTCTATCTTTGCGCGCAAGTTCTCTGCTAGTGATGCGTTTGCTCATAGATGAGTCGTTACTCAGATCCAATCTCTGACTTTCACTGACCTGGTCATGGCGACCAAATTAAGGACTTCGGTATTTGAAAACAATAGATGGGTGCCTGATACTTGGCTTAGACCAGTAGTTGGCAAAATGTAGGCCGCAGAGCATTTTCTTTAATGAGCCTCTAGTAAATTTCAAATATGGGCAGTGACACACAAAAAAGTTCTATAGAAACAGCACTACATTTAATTTTTTTGCCAAATAACTTTTGTTCATATATCGAACGATCATACATTACGTTTGTTTCAACTATAATAACGGCATCGCAACTATTTTGGTATGTCCAGTCTTTCGGTTATTTTATTGCCTCATTAAAATTGGGAAAGCTAACAAAGTGTATTGCTACGTTCGGCTATTCAATCTTTCACCCGCAACATGTACCGGTACGTTTGCACTAGCTTTAATTACAAACTCAATGTCCCTTAACAAGTTTATCACGCGGTTAAATTTAAAATCTTCGAAATTGTTTGGCCTTGAAATCTTTTCCATTTTTGGACACATAGTGGACATAGCGATCGTTTCAATATTATGTTGTTGTTGTTCTTATTGTTGTTCTTAGTGTCCATGTTCTTTGACACGTTTTGAAGAAATCGCTTTTCTCTTCGAATACTGGACCAATTGCTTCGAAATTTTCAGTGGTTGAAGATAAAATTTTTCTCCAGAAGGCTATTACTTTTTTTCCGCTATGACGTCATCAAAATTATTCCCACTGGATGGCGCTACGTGTCCATATATTTGAGCATAGCTCTCTTGTATTATTTGGGCCTTTTTTGAAAAACTTCGCCGATCACTGGCTTAGACAAAGGGTGTGCGGAGGCGTATCTAGGGTGTGGCAGCCATGACTCGTGCCATGGGCGCCGTTTGGACAGGGGCGCAAAAGCTGCGAAAAGTTTTAATAATAAAACGTTTGTTTCAATGAAATAATTTCAAATTAGAAATAACTGAGACTCGTAATTTTATATTATTCAAATTTAACTAAGAGAAACTGTAGCGTAACAGTTTTATTTTAATCCATTAAGCGGTTGAAGAATATATACTTCGCAATATTGTTATTATACGTTTGTGTGAAGTTCTTTTCAGTTTACGGTAATCTAATATTATTAATTTCAAAAATTACGCGGCTCTCACATATTTCTGACGTGCTGCATGCAGCTCTTATACTAAAAAATTTTGCCCACCTATGTCTATGACGTTACAATGCCCTAATAGTTAGCTAGTGAGAGTGAACAACACATGTCATAAGATCGATAACCAAAATCGTTGTGCTTGTAACTAATAGCCTATGTCAGGGTCGTCCAAGGTTGTCGGCTCCGCGGGCCACAAAATTATTTTTGCATTGTTAGCGGGCCAGAATAGTGCCAAGAATAGGTAAACAGTGCAATACAAAACAAACACCTTCATTGTGCAAACACATAGTTATCAGGCATATCCATTCTAGGCTAATAGAATCTGCATTCGATTTTTAGTTTACTATGATACCTATATTGTTTGCATATATTCCCGACCAAAAAGTTAGAAAGCCAGATAACAATTTAGACTGCCAAGCACATCATTCAACTTCGCTAGTTTCCTCAGCTAGCCATAACACTGTTTAATTCAGTGACAATAGTGATGACAATACGTCAAAAGATTTTTCTGATTAATTTTATGACGAAACAACACGAAATGCGATTTTTTGATTACTCTCCGAATGTGATGTGGGCCCCAGATAATGAAGCGGCGGGCCACATGTGGTCCGCGGGCCTGGGTTTGGGCCACCCTGGCCTATGTTGAATAAAGGTGCGGCCCGCAGTTTACCCAGTTATTTGTATCTGGCCCTTCCGTATTAAAGGTCGCACACCCCTTGTTTAGACTAATTATACATTGTTCATTCTCTTATTTCAACAGTGGCAACGACGAACTCATACTCATATCCTCACGTACTTCCACAAAACCAAATCATACAGACGCAGCCGACACAGGTAAGAGAACTGAGTCCAGCATAGAATATAACAATGAAATTAAATAGAAATAATAGCTAAAGTTTTGTGACGTCATAATGTAAAAACCTGGCGTTATAATAAGGTATTGTAACAACATTTTTACAATCAGGCGCCCTAGTGCGACACTGCAAAAGACTGTTCCTTGGGGTACACTATCGCGTCATAAGCTTTTAATAATTGGCGTATACCGGCCTCTCGGTGATCGACACATTTGTGATCCATTTATTCGTTTCAGATGAAATTGGTTTTGGGGGTCACTTCAACCGACCAGCGGTCCCGTGAACAACCCGGTTACGAGGAGTCCACCAGTCTTGCGCACAATTACCTAATGAAACGCGTGTCAAACTTTTCTGCTGCCCGATAATGACGCCGCTTATACCTAACTTAAAAAATATTTTGGGGGATAAACAAATTGTAGATGTTGTTAAACGTGATAATAAATGAATTAAAAGTCAAGTAAGAGTGAAATGTTTGTTGTTTTTATAGTCGTTATATGTTTTATGGCACTCATAACTTCAGTGGTATTTTGCGGCATTGGTCGATTTAAAATAGAAATTCTATACTGATATATCATACAATATTTACGAATGTTTGTATTATTTTTATTCGAATCATCAAACAGAGCAGCGAATTCACCTCTATAACGTACATGCTCGGGACGGCAGCCCCTATGGCTCCTATAGACACGGCCCTGCTTGTACGCCATTCTTCGATCCATAATGTTACCCCATCTTCTATCAGTGTATGTTGGTCATGGAATTCGTTAAACGGTTATTGTCTACAGAGACATAGACTGACAAGCATTGTTGAAAATAGCCTGCAATCAAATACTCCTCAGTTCTCAATTCTTCATGACAGCGGTTCTCAGCCATTTCGCACCTTTTCAACATTCTGAAGCGATTCTAAGTCCCGTTTTAAAAATGTTGGAAAAATGCATCGCATTATTTTCATTTTATCCGCGTATTTGACAGTAAAATAACGCAATACAGTACTAGATTAGCAAATAACGAATAAATGAGAACACAGGTACTTATTAATTTTCTCAGCTGGATATCCTGTTTTTTGCTATCGTTTCCGCAAAAAAATGCTAGATCTGAGAAAAACGCCGCCGCCACAAATTAAGAATTATCCAATTAAACGATTCTATCACTCTGTCCTGTTATAAACACGACTGAAAAATTCCGAACAACATTGTAGGCTATATATCGTTTATGGTCGTTGATCAATATTACCGCTATTATCATGACAAATCGGCAAAGCGTTTAAATCGCATGTAATTGCAACGCTGATCACCCTCGCTGGGATAATCATGTGCGAGAGGATTGCTGGACTGCCCGCCGCCATGTGGTTCATGTAAGCGCTGGTCGATTACATACTTCTCGTCTATCAAACTCATAAAAATCATATCCTATCACGTCATTATGGTTGACAAGAGGCTTAGAATACTTCTCGCCAAAGCTATTATAGACAAGAAAAATGTAGCCGTTCCAAATCGCACGCAGCCTATACCACAAAACAGGACAACATCAGCAAATGATAATAAATTATAAGTGTAGTTTGGTACCACAATAATTTCTAGTGGGCGTGAAACAATAACCTTTTCATATGTCCTTCCACAGACAGGATTTGGCCTGTGGCCGTGGTTGGCCCGTGTCAGACTTATACGATATACAAAATGGCGTTGTATTGGAATAAACTGGGTTCGAACCTGCAACTTCCAACTCAATATTCTTAAACAATCGCAAAAAATTCTTCATATTACTCATTCTTACTTCCCTGATATCTTCCGCATGCTGACATTGCAATTATTTTGTCACAAAGGACCTATGACTAAACGTTATTCCCATGCAACGTACAGAACGTTCTAACAAATTAAAGTCGGATTTTAATAATACGGCATTTCTAAGCCGTGAAAGATGTTACGCAAATATGGTGACGTCACTATTGATGACGTCGTGGAATTGAAAAAAATATACCGAAATCGGCTGGAACACATTAGAAATATTTTAGAATTGAGTTTGTAAACTAGCCAATGTCCATATGTACGAGTAAATATCATTATGTATTCGAGAGGATAAAGTTTTAGGTTACTTATCACACCAGAACGAATTTATTTATTCTTTTATTTTGTGGTGAAAATGGAAATTAGGTACTATTCATCTCTTCTACAATAAATTCATATTTTAAATTATTTTTGTCGCTTTAGAATTTCGTTCACATTCCTGCTCTGGACAGCTTACTACTACCATCTAGCGGATGCAAACAACAGTTGTATGAATTTCCTTATATTCAACCCGGCATTCAACTTGATCAGCAATTACATTTACCTATGGTGAGTTAAATTTGGAGTTATAAATTTTGGCAACTTCAAAATAGAAAAGTGGTCACTATGGCAATGAATCAAAATATTTGACTTAATAGTGCCATGTTGTTTACCACATGGTAACACAATTAGAAGAGTCTGAAAGCGTTTGGTATGTATTATTGGACACGTAGTGGACATAACAATCGTTTCAATATTATGTTGTTCTTGTTGTTGACATCAAGACAGAATAACACAGAATAACACACCTAGTGGAAATATTAAAAAACCGCTTTTCTCTTTGAATACTGGACCAATTGCTTCGAAATTTTCAGTGGTTGAAGATAAAATTTTTCCCCAGAAGGCTATTACTTTTATTCATTTTAAATATTTCTGTTAGCTCTGTGAGATTTGTTTTTGTTTGCTATGACGTCATTAAACGTTCTGCGGACATCGGACGCCATTTTGTTTCCTACTGTACTGCTTCGCTTGGTGTGAATATATTTGTAGACTGTGATCTGACGGTACGGTACACCGTACAGTACTGCGAACAGACGTGTCCATACATTTGGGCGTAGCTCTCTTGTTTATATTTCAAAAGGATGGGGGTCCGACCCCCAAAACCACGCTCTGAGTACGCATCCGTGGACCTTACACACAAAAGTTTTCTTATCGGCTGCCCTTTAAATCGTGAGAGACATTGATTTATTGACACGAACCTGTTATTTTTATGCTTATTTAATATAATTGGGTGGCAACTGACTCTGATGACCCCCAAAGGTCGTATCGTTGCCCCCCAGTCATATACCGAAAACTATTTTTTTGATATTTGTTTATGTGTGCATAAATTGTTTTCTTGGTTTGACAAAATGAAATAAACTCTCTCTCTCTCTCTCTTTATACAAGTAACCTTCTCGAATCAAAATTTTAATTCAGGCAACGGCAATATTTCCTTCCGATATTTCTGCCTATCAAAGCCTTGCTATAGCTTCAACTAGAATAACAAAAAAGAAAAGAATCTCGCCTTCAGCTAAAAGGAGAAGCAGGTCAGTTTCTTTATTAATTTACGTCATTATAATGATGACGTCACATTTGCAATTAACAGTATCCGCAGGCTACTTGAAATTAAAATTTGTTTTGCATAATTAATAAAATCACAATTATTATGTCACAAGTATGCCGTCATTATTAATGATGTCGTTATCTTCAAAATTTGAAAGATTTTCCTTTTTCAATACTTAAAGACGGTTGAAACCGCTGTACGGCTATTAATGGACACGTTTAGTGGACATAACGATCGTTTTGTCGTTATGTTGTTCCTGTTCATTGACACGTTTTGAAGAAATCGCTTTTCTCTCTAATTACTGGACCAATTGCTTTAAAATTTTCAGTGGTTAAAGATTGAATTTTTCTCCAGAAAGCTATTACTTTTATTTTTTGCTATGACGTCATCAAAAGTATGTGGCGCTACGTGACCATATATTTGAAAATAGCTCTCTTGTTACTTTTATTATTCTACCTAAAACTATGTTGCTTTATTCTAACTGAAGAAACACTTTTATATGTCATTGAAACTTCGTGTCCATATCTTTGAGCATTTTTCTCGTTTATTATGTCGTTGCTGGACCGGTAGTCCAATGCGACAGATTGTACGCCCGTACTACGGCGATCTCTTGTAGCATAACCTGGTAAATGAAGCATTTCTTCTTTTTCTAGATTGCGTCTGATAGCTTTTTTAGAATCAAAGAAAAAACAGCAAATAGAGCAAAGTTCCTTAGAAGAAAATAAGTAAGTTTTGAATTTTTTTTGTTGCAACAGGAATTTCTATCCGGGGGTACATTTAACTCGCTTAGGTAGGTTAATTACACTTACACCTCATAATTAGACCTAGTCGATATTTTGTATATTTGAAAATCTCGTAATCCACTACTTTGTTACTTATTTCTGATAAGTGAAAATAAACGACATCTTCCAAAATAAGCTTTAGAGTACTTTTTCGAAAGAAAATTGAAATAAGATTCTGGGAAAAACATGGTGGCCAAACAGTGCCACTTCAAATCATGACAAAAAGAGCAAGAACCAATCTCAATAGTGAAATATATTTTTATATTTGCAGTGAAAACCAACAATCTGTGAATATGACGTCAGCTGCATCAAATACAGCAATCTTGTCACAGTCTAGCACACCAATGACGTCATCAAGTACAGTTTCGTAACAAATCTTCCAAGCATGACTTTCATGCTCACACCACTGTGTTAATATGTTTGCTGAAAGTGCTCTGAACGTTTGTTACTGAAAGCATTTATTTCATAGCAAGTTGGGCTTGACTGACTGGCGCGATGACTTAGAGATGAAAGCGTCAGACTATATCGGCATCGCAAATTACAGATTTCAGTTTCAAAACCCGTCTCCACCTCGCCTCATCTTGGGTTCAGGGCAGTAGCCAGAATTTTTTTATAAGGGGGGGGGGGGGGGGGGCAGAAATTCTAACTGCCAAGTTAGACCGTAACAGCTAACTGGTCTGGGTCAGCCCCAGACCGATGTTGAAAGAATTGCACCGAATGTCATATTATGGTGTACCCGTGGATTAAGAAAACTTAAAGAATTTGATATGATATCAAAAACCCGAAATCACGACTTCCAGCGGCTTTGCCTATTTAATCAAATCGATTGATCAATCAATTGCAAAAAGAAGCAAGTTTTGCAAAGCGAGCCTTAGTCATGAAATACGAGGTGGCTCGAAAAAAAAGGAAACTATAGATTTGTCAGACTTCTGCGAAAAAAAAGAAAATTTATTTAATTTCTGTTTGTGTGTGATTGTCCCCGAAAGTTTCAGTTTATGTTTTTCTAGAATATGTTCTAAATTAACTGGGTTCTGCTTTTCAGTCACCCTGTATATTTTCGAGTTGATTGATGAAAGTTAAATTAATTTGATTTAGAACTGCTTAAAAATTATTTTAAGCTAAATATTTCGATTTTTTTTTTGTCACAATATCTGTAGATGAATTATAAAATATACTTCCTGTCAACCTTTGATTTTTATACTATTTTATTTACTTATAATAGATTTTTTCAGTTTTCTGTTTTTAAATATACATTGTGTAATACTATATTAAAACATCTGTACTCTTTCATCAATTGTGCTTTTATTAAAAACCAAAAATTTCGTTTCCTATTTCAAATATAAATCGCAGGTTAATGGTGTTTATAAGAGGTACTAGGGCAGGGGTGGGCAAATTAAGGCCCGCGGGCCAAATCCGGCCCGTTGGGTAATTCAATCTGGCCTACCTGATGCTGCCACAGCCAAATTAAATCCAAATTTTGATGTTTACCTAAAAATAGCTCATGGAAGTTGTTGCGGTTGCGATTAAATTCAGTTTTGGCACGAGGTTTATTGTTTCCCACTTGTGCTTTTGCAAATTTTGTTCATAAAATGTAGCTTTTCATGTCACACATATATGGCCCGCCAGTCTTAGGTGGGCATAATTTTTGGCCCCTTGTCGGAAAACTTTGTCAACCCCTGTACCAGGGTATTGTGTACTGAACTGCAAGTCCTTTCTCTTTGTTTGCTTCATACTTCGGATCAGTGTGTGTCAGTTGCCACAGCAGGATAGTGCTATAAGGACAAGAGAGGTATGCTCGAATATATGGACACGTCACAAGGTGCCGATATTTTTTATTCTGACACATAAAAAACGAATCTCTTAAAGTCGGCAGTAATTTTTGAAGTAAGTTAAAGTGATAGCCTTCTGGTAAAAAAATCAATCTTTAACCACTGAAAATTTCAAAACAATTGGTCCAGTACTCAAAGAGAAAAGCGATTTTATAATGATGATGAACAAGAACAACAACATAATATTAAAACGATCGTTATGTTCACTGACGTGTCCAATAATTCAGAATAGCATTATCTTTTGCTACAAAATAGCAAGTATATTCGTAAGCTTTCGTTCGATCAAAGTCTAACTTCATTATGTTTTAAATTCTTATTACTGTTGACATTAAATAGGTGGTTTTCAAACCTCCACGAGGTTTCTTCCCAGAGACTGCCAACACTCTATGGGCACTTTTCATGAAAAAAAAACTAGTTTTGTTTTCAACCATTCTCCATCAGTTACTTCAATCGACACGTTAGATGATGAAAGGCCAAATAACAAAAGAATAAGTACATCGAGGTTGAAGATTTAAACCCGGTTGTGTATTATGTGGCTCGCGGGCCACAACCCGGCCCGTCAAACCATTCAGTGTTGCCCTTGCCAACACTCAGACTTTTTCCAATCAAGCATAACATCTCAATTCGAATTTGTTTATGTTTATAAAGGTGATCACATTGGTAAATATACATTATGTTTTTTTGCTCTCGTCGCTGGGTTAAATCTTTCGCCGTTTGGCTCGGCGCCTTTATTACTTTAAACGGAAAAATTATTTTTTTTTGTTTGAACCAGCTAGATGTCTGAAGTGGGTTATATGGTTAACTGTAAATAATGTTGCACGACCCTGATTTAAACAGATCACAGTCAATTTACTCCAAATTAATGCAGACATGGCATCCATCTCCTGAGGACCAAGGGCACAATTTGAAAGACCACTCATTAGAGACTATATTTGAGGTTTTCAACTGAGGGCCAGTGGCTCACAAGGGACCAATGTTACCAATCATAATAACACTCTACATACCATTGGAATGATAAGCAGGGGACCCGTGAATGCTAAAAGACCCTAGGATAGGCCCCGAGCCACAAAAAAGCTATATAAAGCCCACTGGACTATACATTATTTATCACGGGTAAGGGGAGGGTGATGGTGAAAAATATAACCAGCCACAACCACGTGTCCGTTTGCGGGATGTAGGAATATTTTACTTATTGTTCGTTTCAGATGCATGGACTTGCTATGGTAGTTGAAGCCGTAACTGCCCAGCGGTTACGTGAACCACCACCCTACAGCTTTGAGAAGCTCGGGCGTTCCAAGGGGAGAGGATCGGGCTAGACCTCTATCTAGTCTAGCTAGAATCCTGAAAGCCCACGTTTTTCAGCCGCCGGACCCACTAGCAATAACTCTTACAGTCTAACTTGGCAACTAGAAATTTCAGACTCTCAAACCCGGGATAAATATGTAAATATGGGTACTATAACAATAATCCTCCCCAAAGAACGGTTGAGAGGAAGAGATAGGTATCGTAAAAATACAATATATCTAGAAGATATGATGCTAATGATCTTTTATCAGACTGCGTAATTAGTAGAGTAGACCAATGACAAGTGCCGAGTTGACTATGATAAATGCCAAGCATGATAAGCGGGAGTTGGCTCAATGTTTCTGCTGCCAAAGCCATGGTCATTCATATTAAAAGTGTTCTAGAAACGTAATTTCCTTAATAAATAAAGTTAGATATTGAACCTCGGGTGTCGCTGCTCGATAACCATTCCTGGTTCCCGCGACTTCCCTTCCCCAGTAAATATGTGTTTTCAGTTTTGTATTTTGTAAATTTCGTATGTTATTTTTTACTGAATGGGACAAAATAAACTTGACTATGACAATGTTTACTTTTGCCCAAAAATCTACGGATGGCCGCTTCCGACAACATTATGTTTCTGCAAAATTGCTTAGGCAAGGAGTCAAAAACAAAATGACGCAATTATTTTAATAAATATTTTGAAAACGATTTATATTAAAACAAACTTCAACCACGTTTCCGACAAAAAAATCACTGACTCTGACAGTTCGTTGCCCTTAGAAACGTTTGACCTTTCAACTTGTTTACGGAAATACGAGCTTCGCGGAAACGAACGGTATTCTGATATCTCAATCGTTCCAGTGCTTTTTAGGACATTTTATGCTTTATATTATGGAACAAAAATGATGTGGATTTTGTAATTTATTTATTAGAATTGTTATAGTGAAAGCACATTTGGAAGAAAAATCGACACGTATTTGTTAATTTTACAACGGACAGACGGAGGTGCAAAGAAAACTTGCCTTAGTTAGTCTTGAGCCAGCAGAAGCATACCGGTACCGTACTGCAGAAACTTACTGCAGAGTCTTACTGTACAACTTGACAAGTGTGACGTTGCAAAAAAATATATAGTGTATTGGTTAAAATATATTAAGACGAACAAACATCTTACAGCATTACTGGACTGCTTTAGTTATTGGAGTCATTTTAAAGATTTCCCATCTTTGCTCCTGCAAGTCTGCTGTTTTCTCGTTCCAACACTATGTCAACTAAACCAAAGGTCCGTATTATAAGTCCTCCTAGCAGTCCAGAACTAGAAGATGTCAGAGAAGAAGATGATGAAGTTCTTCCCATGCATCACCAGGTTTGTCAGGAATTTTATTGCTGTCTGGATACTAGGGCTGTCCAAAATCGAATAATTTTTTGATTCGAATCGAATATTTTCGCCGAATCGAACCGAATAATCGAATATTATTGCGCAATAGTAAATCTGTCTCTATTATACAATAAACGCCTGCCCTTCGATGTTGTGGTAACGTATGTGCAGTTACATCAAAGGAGATCACACGCTTGTATGAACTGGTCAAAAAAATTGGAGAACTCCAAAATTTGGGTCTCGAAAACTGTTGAGTGTTAAGAGTAAAAATTGCACTATTCAAAAATTGCAATCTCAATTTTGATGGATTCAGTTTTAGTAGGACATATAAAGCCTGTAGATGCTATTTTAATCCTATTCACTAGTCTTTATGTTTTTTTGTGTAAATTTCAGCAAAATAATAACAACCATCAATATAGATAAAACTGTTGCTCAAGTTCAAAATTGCATTTAAAAATTCCAAGCTAGTTTGATGACAATATTATTTGAGGACTATAATATTGTTAGTGTACAACAGCCATCAAAATGCAAGAGTGCAATTATTTGTCTTGGTATATAGATGGATAATACAGTAATGCCATCATGAGAAATTACAAATTCCATTTAAAGAAGGTATTGCCATCATAAGGATCCCAAAACACCTGTTTCAGCTTTGAGTTGCCTGTACCATGTTCCTATGATAACTAACTCAACAGCTTCAAATCGATTCTATTTATAGAACTATCGTTTTCTAAATTGTCTCCTTTTTCTACTTGTTCTCTCTCAAAAACGTCACGATCGACTATACCTTGTTATGATGACCACTCATGAAATGGCTAATCACGTGCCACCGGGCGGGCATTAGTAATGACATGTTTATCACAAAATGAAGGCGAGAGAAATATCGGGAAACCAATTAAGCAAGCCGGGAGCGAGAGTGGTCTGAGCTCGGAGCGCCGCCGCTTGCCCGATGAAAAACAGCCCGTAAAGGTGGTTTCCGCTTTATGTACCTGTACCTAATTTAAGCGATTCGAAAATTAGCCGAAAAACGATTCGAATAATTTGCGATTCGATTCAATTTCGAATATTTGGTTCGCTTGGACAGCCCTACTGGATACGCTTGAGTTGTTTCACACTTTGTTACTGTATTCCCCAAATGTGGGAAAAGATTTTCTGTTACGGCTTCCTCCACCATCAAGTATATGCTTCCGAAAACAAATAGCCAACTAATCCCATACTGCCATACCCGACACGGAATGGTAACCGGACGAAAGGCCGCAGTTTGCCATATGGTCTTACCGGCTTTATGTAAATTCTATCCCTCTAATAATTGCCCGATCTGTTTATTGCGTGCAAGGTTATTTCAGCACTTTCTGTCTCATTTCAACCTAAATTCTTAGGAATTATCACCAGGTTTATCATAAAAAGGCACAAGTTAAACACCATTCCCTTCAAAGGTAAATATGGCGGTAAAATTATACCAGGTAACCCGAATGGAACTTGCGATTATGCAAAAGTTCAGTTCAAGGGTAAACACTAAAACAGTAAAAACACTAACGTTAACCCAACTTTGTTTTACCTGTTAATAATTAATAAACTAACGGTGACTAGAACGGAATGCAGTGGCAGGTTGTAGACATGGCCCAAAATGGGGGCATGTCGCATGTCCTAGCCCCCTGGGTCTCTTACCCTACATAGAGTCAGAGAGTGGTAGTCGGACGGAAGGACATAGTTTGCTAATCGATTTGTTACGCTATCTTATCACCTTTTCTCTCCCTCATTATAAATCTTCTCTATTAAATTTTCTACTAGCCACTAATAGTAAAAATTCAAGCTGTATTATTACATCTCATTTTTGTTTGGCCCCAATAAAATTACCTGTGCTTCCCTCAATCAATCTTTTACACAATCAGTCATTTTAAAGTAATAAAATAAATGATATCATACCACCATATGACTAAGCGACGTAATCATATTGCTATTCCAGGTCTTGTACGATCTTCTTGGTGAAGACAAAGCAGAGTCAATTCTGAACCCGAAGATGGAAGAGCAGCCAACCAGGAGACAAAGCATTCATCCAAATGGGCAACGAATCATCCTTCTGCCTTCAATAGATACTGGGATGGGTGCTGAAGCAATATGGAAAACATTGAAGGTAATTTTAAGCTTTTAAAAGGATTTATTAGTACACTGTTATCGTTCCGTCATAAAACTAACAATAGATATTTCTCCGAGCATCGATTTCCGTGTTTATTTCCGAAACAAACACAAATCAGTTATAAGTTAACATTGAAGTAACAATTGGAATTCATGCCGCCGCTCAGACAGATACTACTATGATTACCCTTAGCTTTAACTTTTTTCACAAAATGAAGTTATTGTGATTTTAGAAGGTAGTGAAATGTAAAGACAAGTTCCTATTCGATTTTAAATCTTTAATTTTCAGTTAATATACTTATCTCTGCCCAGACTGGGTCCCACACAATCCGAGTTAGTGGCAATCCACCTTCTTGCAGCAGATAAAGATTAAAAAATATCTTTCATTTCAGGAAAAATCTGACAAGAAGATAAATCGTCTCGAAGAGAGAATTCCTGATGAATGGAAACAAGCTTACAGTGCTTTCCTAAGAGACAGACTTGCTCAGGATAAACCATTGCCATTTAGGAGTTTCACTGGTAAGAATCAATGGGCAAAATTTAAAATAAATACTTTTTGAAAAGCTGTATTTCAAGTATTGAGATGATAGAAATTGTTAGTTTTTCTTCGAATACTACGGTACTTATTTTTTATTATCGTATTTGTGTTAATGTTTTTGAGTAAAATTTATCGTGTATTGAGCTTTTGCTCAATTAGAATTATAAAATACCAAACTATTTGGATTAGGACGTTACTAACAAGTGGGTTATTTTTTATGTAGAATCTACCACATTGCTGCCCTGTCCGGTTACCAGTGCATGTCGGGTATGGGATTAGTTAGCCAGTTGTTTGTTTTCTGAAGCATGAACTTGATGGTGGAGGAAGCCGTAACCGACCAGCGGTTATGTGAACCGCCCTACATATGGCGAGGAATTAAGCAATTCCCTTACACATAATTATCCCTGCATTGGATTCGAACCTGCGAACCCACGCAGGGTAATCAGAGGTTCGGTGGCTAACGCTGAGCATGAGCCATCTCCACGCAAGGTTTTGGACGAGCAATCAGGCTGCCTGATTATGAATAAGAAATTCCATATATTTTCTATATTTTTAACATTTTGCCAAATTGTCTTGTTTTTATTTTTAGCAAAAGCAGACGTCCCAGATCTTGAGATTTTGAAACAACACGATTACGTTTACAAAGTTCGGAAAATACGTAACCACACTAATGTCATGTATCGAAGCTCTGAGAGCAACTTGAACCATACTACGTTACTTCTCAACAATAATCCATTACCTGAATGCAAACGAAGCGGAAAAAATGTCGCTCTCGACCGGTATTTTGACGACCGATTTTTACAACAACGACCAGAATCTGCTGACGTTAAAAGTATTGAGTACCTGGAACCTACTGCCGGTTTACCTCAGCCTAGGAATCTACACTTCCTAACAAATGAAGGCGCTAAATGCAAAGGGACATTCTACGCCAAGTATGCAGGTTTGGTGTTTTTTATATCGTAAGTTATAGACTAAGATTAATGTAAGCTGTAGAATTTCATATTGATAAGATAGCTTGATCATATGGCAAACCTCTTGTCTGCTTAACCAGTCCATGTCAGGTGTGGAAATAGTTAATTTGACAAGACTTTGGTTTCTTCCATTGCACTTCTAATTACATTATGGGGTTCGCGGCATAGAATCCTATGGAGAATATTTATATTAGTTACCGCTTGTCAGTTACGGCTTCCTCCATTATCAAGTCCATGCTTCCAAGAGCAAGCAAATAACTGGCTAACTAAACCCATACCCAACATGGACTGTTAACTGAACGAGAGGCCGTGGTTCGCCATATGATTAAGTCGTCTTATCGGCTTTCCCTCCGGATAAATATATAAATCCTATTCTAATTGCAACTGATGATTCACAGATGAAGAAAACATGAAAATGGTGACGGACGTCCCAGGGTACGAAGTGAAACTTCCTCCATCAATGTCAGCTCGTTATTCTATCAGCGCACCAGGAAACGCTGCTGCAATGAAAAAGGAATGGAAAAGATTCGAAAGAAAGGTTGCTACCCATAAAACCTCGAGATGGGAGCCTTTAACCATTGGAAGTTTGCTTGAATATTCAACTAGCAAGTCTATCCCCGGATCGGGGGATTTCAGACGTGGTGCGGCTTCAAGATGGAAGAATACAGCTAGTGCTGGAATATAGAAGCAGGCGTTAGCAAAACTGAAAAATTTGAATTTTGAAAATGTTTAAAAACAGGGTATTTCTATTTTTGTGAGAGAGAATTGCCAGGTACTGAGCACCCATTCATAAGTAAAAAAAACTCATTTTTGAGCAAAGGAACAGGCACTCACTCAGAAATGAAGGAGACTCATCTCTGAGCAAAGTTACGGGCACTCACTCAGAAGTAAAGGAGACTCATCTCTGAGCAAAGTGACGGGCACTCACTCTGAATTGAAGGAGACTTTTCTCTGAGTAAAGTATGGGCTCTCACTCAGAAGTAAGAAAGACCCATCTCTGAGCAAAGGTACAGGCACTCACTCAGAAATGAAGGAGACTCATCTTTCAGCAAAGTTACAGGTATTCGCTCAGAAGCAAAGAAGATTCATCAACATCAACAGATATGCTCACTCAGAAGGAAAGAGACTTATCTTGAAACCAACTGACTTATCTTTAATGTTTTCCAATCCAGGGTATTTCCTTGAAGCAAAGTTACATGCACTCGCATATAAGTAAAAGATACAAAGATTTTTGCTACTTTGTACGTAAATCTATTTCACATAATAATAATGCGTTGTAATCCACCTCATAGTTGGAGGATTTTTATATCATTAAATAATGATGATTTATATTGCTTTCGACTTTTTATTAAAATCAATTGCATAAAAGCGAAGCCACACGAGACTTAACTTTATTATTGTTTCGTTATCCTATATATATATACTTCTATGTGCCAAAATATGGTGTAATTATGTTATCACTGATTCTATTTAATATTTTACCTACAATTTTTTCTATATTCATTCTGTGACATATTTTTTTGTGCCAATATGACCATGGTTCGCCATGTTGGGCCGGTTATTAGAACGGAAGAAAATAATTTTTGATTAAAGATATGGGCGACCACCAGGTGGTTACTATGGTGTCACTCCACCTCATCGAAGGTGTAATAAACTACAAATTTTATGGTAATCCATTCCAAAATCAATTCCCAAACCAGGACTGTACCCTGACTTTATATTAAGATAGGCGATATCTTTTGAAAAATATTTTTCCATACATTTCACTCCTGTCAACTAATTCGTTATCCAATTTGGTAATCCTTGCAAAATTTTTATTTTGTTTGTATATTTTTCTTTCACTGAGTAATATATTTCCTTTTTTTCCTGGGGTGTGACACCATCTCACAGAGAGTGTAATGAACTACTAGGTTTGCAATGCTGAACCGTAAAGATCCCGTTTATTTCATCTATGGTATATAACCTTACTTGGAGCGAAAAGCTTATGATATGCCGTTTATAAAAATCCCCAAGAAGTACTAACCTCCCTGCCTAAGTCTGTATTTGCTCGTTCAATTTTATGGTAAGCAATATTCTCTCTAATTTTTTGTAGTATGTGTGCGCACTTTTTTGGAAATGACTGATATTTGTGCAAAAACCTATGAAGAAATTTTGGCGTTCTAACCTGGTAATGGGTGGGCCAACAAAAAACTTTCTCAACCTGCCAACCCAGAACATTGTTTCATTACATCGAAATACGTCTGTGCGCAGTAAATCTATGCGTGTGTGCAGCCTCTGAAAGCTGTGTGCGCGCACACACTTTAGAGGGAACACTGCTGGAAAGCCATTTTAAATACTTATTTAGATTCTATAGTTTAAGATTTACATATTTATCCTGGAGGAGAGAGGAAATACAATAAGAGAGTTCAATCATATGGCGAACCATGGCCGTTCACCAGTCTGTGCCAGGTACGGTAATAAATAGCCAGTCACAGTATTTGAATGGACTTTCGAATGCTTAAAGATTAAATTCTTGCAACAGCTCACCAACACCTCTATCTGAGTTTGTTTCTTTTGCCATTATTTTCATGTAGTACTTTGATATATAGTTGTTTTACCTCTTTAATAATGTAGAATGAGATTTATCTAATTATGAGATTAGTGTTGCCATATTTTTCATGTCATTAATAAATGTGTAATAAAAAAATTGATATTAAATAGCTTGGTGATAGGATTAGAAAATTACTGGTTGTGGGTTTGCAATATTGATTTCATATTGTTAAACAAGAAAGGATGTGAATATGGTCAGGAGAACAGCTATGTTTACCCATCTTGTATATTTGCTCTATTTATATGAAAACACTATCCTTGCTCCAAATGCCAGCATAACTTGAAAACAGAATATAATGAGGTGGTTCAGAACAGGTTACCAAAACACTAAACGTACGAGTCCTTTTCAATATTTTCGCAGTTTTGCTTAACAAGAATCAAATTAGAGAAATAAATAATCGCAACGCAAATCATGACATGCCTTCAAGTCACCAAGTATTGACCAGTTCAAATCCGGGTATATAACATGAACATTAATTCTTATTCAGGAGTTGTTTATTTTTTAGTTTACCAGCAGACTATATTTTAAAAATCACATATCAACATAGATTTTATCACATTCTTTATCAAGTTTTTGACATTAATATGAATAGTACTTTTGACTGGAACAAGTAGGATTTTTTGTTAAAATTTGTTATTCTAATGTTTTGTCAGTTTTTTAACCCAGAATCAGAATTTGAGTGGGTCAGAACCACTAACCCCTGGTAAATTAAACCGAAATATAAGACAAAAATTGAACTGTATAAAGCAGGGGGGTCCAAGGTTGTCAGCTCCGCAAGCCACAAAATTATTTTTGCTATGTTCGCGGGCCACAATAGTGCCAAAAATAGATGAACAGTGCAATACAAAGCAAACACTTTTATTGTGCAAACACATAGTTATCAGGCATAGCCATTCTAAGCTAATAAAATGCACATTCGATTTTTAGTTTTCTATGATGCCTATATTGTTCGCATATATTCCCTACCAAAAAGTTAGAAAGCCAGATAACAATTTAGACTGCCAAGCACATCATTCAACTTCGGTAGTTGCCTCAGCTAGCCATAACACTATTTAATTCAGTGACATTAGTGATGACAATATGTCAAAAGATTTTTCTGATTATTTTTATGACGAAACAACACGAAATGCGATTTTTTGATTACTCTCCAAATTTGACGCGGGCCAGAGTTTAGACCACCCTGGTATAAAGAATATAACTCAGATAAACTTTGAAACAAACATAAACGATGGCATTGAAATGCTTGTAAAAAGTATATTGCATAACGCTGCTATAGGCTCAGTGCTATAAAAGGCAAAATTTGTCAAACTGCTCAGAAGCATGCCAGCAATCATTATGGCAGTTAATCAGCGCCTCTTCCTCTAAGATTTTTTTTATTCATACAACGCATACTGGCTTCTTGCATTTTGCCTTGTATAAGCGGCCACTGATTTTTAACGATTCCAGTAAATTCAAAATTTGATACAAAAAATAAGCACTCAAGCCAAACACAAGTTGAGAAAACAAATACTCCTGTATGTGTACCAGTGTTGCTTCTGAGTGAGTGCGCATAACTTGCTTAGCATCTCTCAGAGATCAGCATCTTATGCTTCTGGGGAAGATCCCGCAACCTCAATTTGATCAAATTTTTGTATAACAAATATGATATACCGTATATCAGAGGCACTCAACTATTTTTACTGAAGGTCCTTATACAAAAATTGAAAATTTCTCGAGTATTTCCAGTAAATAACTACAAAAACTTACGAGATGATCCACCAATCACAGAAGGTTCCATTACACTTGAACCCACGTACATTTGAACCCACGACAATTGCACCTGCATGCCATTGCACCTATGGATTTTTTTTTGGTTTTACGGATATTTGTACCCATACTAACCTAACCCATGGGTTTTAGCATCCGCATATTGATTGAACCCGCGGATATACACATGGGTTCAAATGTACGGTCACCATCACAGAATCATGACAGTGCTATTCTAAAAACCAAAATGAAAGTTATTATATAACAGAAATTTTCACACATATTAAAGTTAAATGCGGTCAATGCTCCAAAATAAAGTTCGGTCTGAATCAAATACTCGGAGAGTCCAGATTAGGACCCCTGCAGGCTGCGATTCATTGGATATATCACATTGTCCTCATAAACATGGTTCTACATGGAAAGTTTTCATACAAATCGTTCATCGTTCTCCAAAATAGGAATTTCGCAATTGGATAATTTAAGCGATGGGTTCGATGAGGGATTCGTGGCAAAATCGGCAAATGATGGCAACCCCTATACAATGGCCCCCTCATTTTTTTATACTATGGATGGCGAACCCAAGTCATAAAAATTCAAGTTTCTGGTTGGGGTTGGGGTTTTGGCGCAAAGTCTTCTGCCAACTTCCCAGGGAAATGCCACATAGGAGGAGGTTCATCTCTGTACGTCCATATGTTTGTTCGATTCCTGATCACGTCATCCGCATTGGCTTTTTCCATCGCTACAAGAGTTTGTTTTGCTTCCTCATCGTTTTCTAAAAAATGAGTTAAGGAAAAATGATAATAATATTCAATAAAAGAAACGTCTGTATAGTATTCAACAAAAAGATGGAAAAGTAGCCTACTACAGATTTGCAAGCACGCCTGATGTGCTAAGGGTTTTGTATAAGTCAAATACAGAAAGGAAATCGAAAGAGGGAAAATATAATGTTTCCTGCTCTTATTGCTAATTAAACATTTCGCCGTTTTGCCCAGTGCCTTTATAAATGGTCAGTCGAAATACTACAGAAATACATTTGTGTTAGTGTGCAGCAGGAATCTTAAATTGCACAAAAAAAGAGCTGCAAAAAACTTTAATCTCACCTAGTGTACATTTTTTACACAAATTGAACATTTCTTTCCAGCTCTGACACTCAGATTTCTTTTTGTAATATCCAAATGCATAGTAAGTCTGTATTTTGTTTGATAGTGATTTACATGCTTTATACTCTTCGTAATAATCAGAACAATCTCTGATTTTCTGCTCTTTGTCACCACCAGGTGTTTCTTGTTTATTAGCAGCCATGAAAATGGTAGTTTAGTTATTTTTCTAAAAAAAATATACAGACATTAAAAGAGAAAATGCATTTTGGAAAAAAAATTTGGCATATGAAAGTTTGGAATTAGAACAAATGATTTGAACTAATATGAGCATTATATTTTAAAAGAAACAGTCAGCTATGGAACATGGCTGAAAGCAACAATACTTGAGATTGAGATTAAAATATTCCGCTCAGCCATGCATCATTGCCTTCCTGCGTTCTTTAACTTCTAGATAAATTATATACAAAATTATACACATAAAAAACAGACCAGGTAAATTAGTTGCGGAGTAATACAAGCAAGGAAAGTGACTTAAATCGAACAGAATCAAAGATAAAACATCAAAAAAATTAGTGATGCTAAGTAGCAAGGTTTTTGACCAATCGTTGAAATTAACTTAGGTTATACAGGTGTGGACAACAACCTAAAGATTAAAAATATTATTATGAAAACAGTGGTGGGGGAATAACAAGATGATACTATATCAAATGAAAAAATACAGATAATATTACTGTTAACAGAAAGGCAGAGCAAAACCTAACCTAGCATGAAAAATATACGAGAAATATGTTGAAAAAATTAGTGATTAGGTAATAGAATAGCACAATATTGAATAAAATAAAAAATTGTTTATATCACAGTTAACTCCTATTTGAGCCAATCGCCGATTGAAGGAATCTCTGAGCATCTGAAGCTGCCCCACTTCTTAATACTTCAGTCAATGAGCGTCCGGGGAACAATCGTGAAGCTAGAGGTACAGCTTCGTTGTTATTCGGATCCAAAATTAATGAAATTAAAACGTCCTGCTGAGCGGCTTGCAGTTCCTGGTTCATGTATCTTGCACGAGCTCTGTGGATGTAAAACTGTGAAACTTTTGGGTTATAATCGATGGCAAGAATAAAGTGCTGTAATGCGTCTTGGTATTTTTTTTCTTTGTAAGAAATGATGCCCAGTTCGTTATGTACAACAGCTATTCGACATTTTGTTTCCCAACTTGACGGGTCCATTTCTAATGCTTGCTGATAATCTGCTAATGCAAATGTTAAATCTCCTTGTTTAATAAAGCAGTCTCCTCTATTTATATACAAGCCCTTCTCGTTTTTCTCCCCTTTAATACTTTTGTTTAAAAGTATTACTGCCTCTTCATAGTATCCCCTTTGGTAACAATACACTGCGAAATCATTGTATGTTAATAAAAGTTGTCTTTGTGCGTCCTTATAAACCGGTTTAGTCTCGTCGTGGTTGGTTTTATCCATTGCAAGCATGTAATCATCAATCGCTGCATTAAAATTTTTGAGCCGACGATACAAGGCACCTCGAAATACATGGAACTCTGCAACTGATGGATCTGTTTCTATCGCAGCTGTGGTTCGATTTATAGCTTCATGGAGTTTTCCTTCGATCGTAAGAGTCGACGCTACTTTTCGACTTTCAGCAGCTCTAGATTGTAACTCTTGTAGGAGTTTATTAGCTTGGGGTTGTAATGGTTCTAGCACTAAGGCGTCGCGTAGATCATAATAGCAAAGAGATGAATGCCCGAACATTTCATGTAGCCTCGCTCTCATGACATAAAGCTCTGGATTTGCTGTCGATTGAGCTTCCAGAATTCGAGTTATTAGCATGAGACATTCCTTGTGCCGCCCTAATGCAGCGAGGCATGCTATTGCCCTCATGTGATAAGCTGTGTTAGACGATCGCATCTCTGAAGCGCTTGTGAATGATTTCAAAGCACTTGGATATAAACCTTGATCGAAAAGACATTGGCCTTGCAAGTAATATAGAAACGCAAGTCGATCAATTATATTAGGGTCGTGGGGTTCAAGACTTCGTGCATGCTTGTAATTTAAAACAGCGGAATTGAAGTCACTGAGTTGAACAAAAGTTTCCGCTCTTTCTACATAAAAGCTAGCCGACCGTGACTCTAGATTTGTTGCTTTGTTGAAGCATGTTATAGCAGCCTCAAACTGTCCCTGCAACGAGTGTTCAATGCCTTGATTGAAATGCTCGTGTGACTTTCCTCTTATCACACCTTCCATTGTTAATATTTCTCTGTGTGAATTAGGATCTGTGATAGGAATAACAGATTTCAAAACATTCTTGTCTTTTACTTCGACTTTTTTCGACGGCAAAACTGCTAAAGCTTTCTGTGCTTCTGCATCTCTTTCTGACTGAGGTGGTGGTGTCGCCAAAGTCTGCCGTAATTTTAGAATAATTTCCTCAGTCTCTGAATCACTTCTCACAGGGTAAGCTGCTTTTAAATTTGCATCAAACGCGACGAGGTATTTTGTATTGGTAACCTCGCGTATTTGACTTTCTTTAGCCTCCATTCTCAGATTTACCGAAGAGCTCAATCAGACTCTCAATTCAGCAGTTTCCGAAATAAAAAAACCTTCCTACTTTTCGACAGCACGTATTCTTCTTACTGGTCCAAGACACATAATGATAACTATATTATTCCTTTTTCAATTCACGCCGTGAAATCGAGGCACAAATTCAGACATTGAAGCAATCGAGCAAAAAAAATCGTGCTTCCACACGCGCTGATGCGTGATGGTCGCTATGGCGACTACATTCAAATAAAAGACGTTTGTGTTAATTTTATCCCTATTTCATCCAAACGACAACAATATATTGTAAAATCTATAAAAGTATTACCCACTCCCAACTGTACACTGCGGCCCCATGTTTTATAGCAACGCCGATTGTTTGCAGAAGGTCATAGCAGTGTGGCACGTCACCGTTTCGTCATAGGACGTCCATCGATTACGCCATGTTTATCGAGTTTACGTCATCAGTTTTGTCGTCACTGGCAGTTGCGCCATTGTCAATTGAGCCAATTACGTAATGAATAAAAATTGGATTATCTTATATTCTATGCCGTTAGAGGTTAGATTGCCCATGCAGTACTTTTATACCCTGTGTGATTGTGTAGTCATATTTTGTGTTTTGCACCATTGCCTAAATAAATGACATTAAACAACAATGGCTATTTTATTTTTTTCTTAAATAGATGATTCGGTTACAAATGCCCTTGCCCTTAAGCCAGATTTGGTTCGGCATTAGATACCAGGACTGTCGGATTGAAAAAGGAGGGAGGTCTGAATTCCCTGACGCTACCTTCTTTTCCAGTACTCTGACCCTTATCAGTAACAACCAACACGTTTCATCAATATATTTGTAATTCTCTAATATGATATTACAATTAATACAAACTCAAAGGATAAAAACACACAAAAAAAATTATGAAGAATCAACTATAATTCTATTCAGTTTATTCATTAATTATCGTTCTCGTATTCTATTACAACCACTGGGATGGCTAGGATAATGACTTAATTTGTTTCGGTGCCTGTTTGTCACAAAAATAATAATAGTCTTAGAAGCATCTGCATTTATCAAATTTTATTCGTTGAAGGTAATCAGCTTTGTAGGTGTCGCTGCCTGATGACTCCTGTCACACAATTCAAGTTAGTTAGTCTTTTTTCATGATATTCACCATATTTTTCATGATGTCTTTACAGTGTGTTGACAAAAAAATGATGCTTGATTGATTAATTAAAATGACATGGTCCTATCTTATTTTGAGCAAGATGCGACTTGGCTCTACTTCGGAAATGGCTGTTTGAAAATGATATTTTAGGTTTAGTAAACTGCGTCAGTGATTCGAATCCGATTTATAAATATTTTTCTTATTGTTATTGAAGGATGAAAGAGTAAATTTTTTTTCTATGTATCTGGAGGGGTATAAATGAAACCATCGTAATTTTGAGGACCAGGGATGTCCAAAACTAATTGAGTATTCGAAAACGTTGAAAATTCATTATTTATTTAATATAGTAAATTCTTGAATTTAGGAATAATTTAGAACATGTTTATTTAAAAATTAGGATTTTTAAAAAGTCTGACAAGCAGACCAATACACTTGGAATCCAATAATCTTTATGTTTGTATAATTTTAGATGTGATCAACATAGTGATTTAAGTTATTTGGGAACATGAAGTTGATTGAATTTGAAATTCCACATTCGAAAATATTTTTAGTGAAATTTTGGCCATCAAGCTATAGTTCACACAAAAAGTGGCAACTTCAAGATTAACTAGAAGAATTTTCAAATTTGGAAACCATCAAATTTGTTAAGCAAAAATCTTCATTCCCTACCCTTCAAGCTACAGTGACAAAAATTGAAATAGTTCAGGTTAAATTTGCACCTTTAAAAATAAAGTAATATATGTGTGGGACCATAATTTAAATTATTGAGGCACAACTGAAAATGCATTAAACCATATGTGAGGTGGTAAAAAGTCGACTAGGTGAGTGAATAAACAAAATGGTATATACAGGAGATTTGTGTAGTGAACATGGACAGTGGGTGTGTGCTTGATGACATAGTGCCAATGCGTACATGAGCTCTCCACGGCAAAAAAATAAAGTTTGTATACTGACAACTACTCCAAAACATTCTTAATCAGGTTAAATAGCTGAACATATCGAAAATACAACAGACATAGTGCAGCGTTTCCAACCTTTTTCCAAGCGACTCAAATTAAAAAATTTATTTTTGTTAGGTCACGGCACCCAAGAATAATACCTCAATACAAGAAGAATACATCAAAGACTAACAAGATTTTTGTGCTTTTATGGCAGCAAAATTAAAGTACTAATATAAAACCTAATAACATTGATTTTCTCAGAAATCACTTCTAAGTGGGAAAGCTGCGCTCAGCGAGTTTTTGAAATTGTGTCGACAAGTCAATGAAAATAATAAAAATACTTGAAGAAGCAAAATAATAATACAATGCTAAAACAACATTGTATTTTAAATAATTTGATACAATTCTAATTACTCCACTGAATAGTATTGGAGCGTAACTAGTCAGAATTTTCTCATCTCAATGTTGCTGCCAGTTTCTGCCATTGTTGTTTTTCGATTTAGGTTGAGGTCAATTTGTACTAATTCCGAATGCTTAACCATCAGGAACTATTGAAGCACGAGACTAGTCACTTGGTCAGAATAATTTCATGCTCACAAGCAGAAGTCGTTGCTGTCAGTTTCAAATTTTGTTGTTTTACGATTTAGGTTGATGTCAAAATATTTGAAAGTTATCAGAATTACATCATTTCAAAATTATTTAATGCGGGAGAATTCAATTTTGGGATTTTTAAATTTCTCAAACGTTATTTAGAATTTTTGTTCGGTTGTTACAACAGAATGTGTACTAGGGTCTCTAGAACGGAACAATTCAAGGAAAAATCCAATCATCAGTGGCTTACATTCATTAATCATTCCAATTCTGAAAATCAAAGTACTGTATTTTTTAGAATCCTTTGTAAATAAAAAATATTTGCTCAGGACCACACACAGAGAGTAATAAACTTAGGGTGCTCCAGAAGTATGTGCACCAATATGTAGATAACAAATTTTGTTCGTCTACTTTACATCATGTGCAGGGGTATATTCACTTGGCTAACTCAGACAGTCATCGAACTCGTAATAGAACTAAAATAAGGAAAATCGGAATAAAATTATGGCCTAACCCTAACCTGGTACACATACTAAGGGAGTACCCTAACTTTGTAGGTAACCTATACAAATAGCAGGTATGAATACCTTCTTATACAGAGTTTTGTTCACAGTCATAAAACAAAAATAAAATTGATAAAATAATAAGGCAAAGCATTCCTGGTACATGTCACAGCCTGAGTGGATTAGAACTCATTTCATATAACCATTTTTCACTTTCTGAAGAACATTAGCTGTTAAATTTTGTTCACACCTCTGATGAAAAATCTCGATTTGAAGTCTGTTTCCAAACCCCCTTCCTACTTTGTCTAAAGTGTAATAAACTGCGTAGGAAATGCCAAGCCAAAAGTAGTTCCCCACGTTTCAGTTTCCAATGTAAAGAACTTTGTTTGAAGCGAAAGGAGTCCCATACAGGTATGTAGCAAGGAATTTTCAGTGGGTGGATGGAGGTAGTCTGAAATTTTGATTTTGAAGTAAGGCCGCAACAGCTGATGGGTTTTGAAGAGTATTGAGGGTGCGTTTCAAGCTACGAAAACTGCTATGCATGAAGAATGCTTTTTTTACATTTTAAAAGGAGGAAGGGAGGTTGAGAGACGAAATCCCCCCGTTTTAAATATACATCCCGCCTCCCCCCTGGTTTCATATAAAAAAAAAAGGAACGGCAAAGAGGATCTAGCCTTCAAACATGCTAAGGGGGAGGCAGCCGAGGAAAGGCTTGTCATAAGATCTTGCTGTAGTTCAGGCTAATTCTCCGATTGGTGCGTTCTTCAGCCATAGATCATGCAGATAGGAATACATATTGTCTGATACCGAGACCTGTGAAACAAAAAATTGACATTAATAACACTAGGATGTCTTTTATTTTCATTTATCAAAAACAAAATTACAAAGTAGAGAATGATGAGATTTTTGAATATACAAAATATGAATGCTACTCTTGTAAATTGTTCTTTTTCCTGTTTTGGTATAGCAGTAATGTTTGTGTTAATAAAAGCCTACAATAGTCTAAATGAGTTCTCCTCGAATGGTTATGACAAAACAATAAATCTCTCTCTCTCTCCTCACATGTAAGCCAAGCCCCTACAATAGTGAATTTATAAAAATTAGCATATAAGCCGACCCTACGTAACCTGCAAGCGATCACATGCATGACAACCAATCACAGACTGTTATCGCTGTCATAGCATGCCAAGCGCTGCTTGGAGTGTCTGCTTGCAGGCTCTTATCGTGAGAACTTGGTTTGAGTTGTAGCTGTTAGAATTACGATAGCCTAATGTCTTTTCTTTTGAATGCAATCAGATTTATGCACATACAGGCCAAATTTTTAGTGTGATCAGAGTTATGTGTGTATAAGCCGACCCCATAATTTGGCAACTTTTAAACTCCGCTCATGCACGAGGATAGACGCTAATCCAGTGGTCGGCAAACTTAATGTACGCGATATGATATCTGACCCGCAATATTTCGAGCAAACTGGTTTTAAAATGCGCAAAAAATTTATTTTCTGTCCAAGCACTTTGAAACGTTCGACCCTCGTTGCAAACTTCCCTCCGCTTCCCAGACATTTTTACGTTTTGAAAATCAAAATTAACTCAAACAACATACAACTGACGCTACTGATTACAAAACAAGCGCCGTGCAGCAGCACTTGTTCCCACATAAATCCATGTCGAGACAATAATAAATTTGGGATCAATTTTTGTTTTATGTATTAAATGTCGGATCGTTCGAGGGCCGCAACAAATTAGCTCGCTGGCCGCAGTTTACCGAACCCTGCGCTAATCAATATTAAAGATTGATTTTCGAAAAAAATTTAGAATAGTTGCATTCATCATTTCAAGCAAAAAAGTCTCTCACATAAAATCAGAACAGCTGAACGGTCTTGCTTTATGAAACTTTTAAAAAAAGTATTTTATATCCATCTATATGTCATTGCCAATAAACTAAAACACACCCCAAACAGCCGAACCAAAGTAACTTATTCTGGCAACACACAATCAAAACCAACCATTCCAAACTTTTGATCCGAGCGGTGAGGTGATGGTTTAACCTAGATGTCATAAATCATGAAATATAAATAATATGCCCTAATAGTTAGAGCAGGGGTAGGTAGGCAAGGTTTTTGGATCATGCATAACATAATGAGCATCGTTTTGAGCTTTAAAACATCAAAATTTGGCTTTAATTTGGTTGTGGCAGCATCAAGCGCGCCAAACTCAAATTACCCAACAAGCCGGAATTGGCCCACGGGGCCGTAGTTTGCTTATGTCAGTGTTAGAGTTCTGGACCTATCCATGGCATTGTAATTTAAAATCTTGTATTAAAGCCCCATATGCCCAATACCTCAGCCAGAGTGTGATAAACTGGGTAGACAAGTACCAGGACAGGGTGTTTCAAGTTTGGAGCATCACAATATTCCATATTTTGTATTTTTTGAAAATGTGAAAAATCCATTATGACATCATTTATGCAATACAGCATCATAATGGATCACTAGAGGTGGAATTTGTGTGTGTCTGTGGTACCATAACACACAACTGGGAAACAATACACTTGCCAGAAATATAATTGATAGTAATTTAAAAAAAAAACTAAGAAAGCAGAAAATATAAATCGAATTAAATAACCATAGTTACCTTGTAAGGCGTTGGGTTTAGTTCCCTCTTGATGTCGGGACGCAAAGTGTTCAGGCATTGCATAGCTCTCGTCCTGGAATTGAAAGGTTTATTAAAGCATTGTATTTATCATAGACTTATTGGTTGCAAAATCCTATATTTTTACTATGAACAAGACTAGGGTCCGACCGATACTGCCTTTTCAAACCGATACCGATAGTTTTCTAAAAGTAGGTCGATAAGCCGATACCGTTGTTACCTCACACAAAAAGATGGCTACAAGGAACAAGCAACACTCTTAAGAATTCTGTGTTTTTCTTGCAAAAGAATTGAAATCTATAACAAAATGAATAACTGGTTTATGATTGAATATGTTACGTATTGTAATTATTATAAATGTTTTATTGTTTTTGGACACATAGTGGACATAACGATCGTGTCAAAATTTTGTAGTTATTGTTATTTTCCTTATTTGTCTCCATCATTTTTAAAAAAATCGCTTTTCTCTTCGATACTGGACCAATTGCTTTGAAATTTTCAGTGGTTGAAGATAAAATTTTTCCCCAGAATGCTATTACCGGTACTTTTATTCATTTTAAACATTTCTGTTAGCTCTGTGAGATTTGTTTTTGTTTGCTATGACGTCATTAAACGTTCTGCGGACATCGGAAGCCATTTTGTGTCCGACTGTACTGCTTCGCTTGGTGTGAATATATTTCTAGAATGTGATCTGACGGTACCGTAAACCATACTGTACTGCGAACAGACGTGTCCATATATTTGGGCGTAGCTCTCTTGTTCATTTTAAAAAGCTGTGTATATGAATCAATGAATTCATTTTACTTTTCTATGTCGTTAACTTTCTGTTACGTCTGCCTTTATTGTTACATAAAAGGTAGACACCACTTGTTGCAATTTTGCGAGCTGCCGTTTTTTTTGTCTGCTGAACCGAGTTTAGCGACATGAGTGATTTTTTAAGCATTTCAAAGTAGCTTAATCAGAGATGTGAAAGTAGATGGAATACCCATGAAATAAACGATACGCTTTCCTACCTCAAATCTTTCAAGTCTTCGAAAGGTTTCATAGGGCCATCTCTTCCCCAGTACTGTGTTAATAATTTCTCCACACGATGGGGACAGACATAAGCCCGCTTCGATTCAATGAAAGGATGTCGTACTAAAATTCGTTCATTCACCTAAAAAATAAAATGGGTGAAATGAGAGCAATTTTTCATTCTGCATTAGGAAAAACAAAACGAATTCTACTACGCAAAGATGAACATCACAGTTAGCGGGTGCCGTCTGGTTTTGAGGGTATAGAGTTTCAAGTTAGGAACTAATTACTATGTATGTTATAGAAGAATTTTTTTTTTTTTTTTCAATTCCAAAGAGAGGGTCCGACCCTCAACGACCCCTTGACTACAAGTGCAGTTTTAGGTACTTTGTGGCGTCTAGAGCTGCCACAAAACCATGGCGGGATTTCCAAACCATGGCCACTATGGCCAAACACATGGCGACTGACTTTTTAGCTGCCACAAACCAAGGCATGTCGGCCATAATGGCAGGGTTGGGTAAGTTGGAACATTTTTCTTATGAATACAGTTTTGATGGATTTGGGGTTAGGTTTGAGGCTCAAATAGATGTAATTCCGACATAAAACCATGGCAAGAGACGCCGCGGTTCGTTTGTGACAGGAGCTGCCATGAAGTGGTAAGAACTACGCATCCCTGGCTAAGCCCCTGACAGAGTGCCATGTTAAGAGTGAAGATAGAAAAACAACACACAAAAAATTGTCACCAAAATCAAACCTTTGGTGGATCTTCTTTAGCATGCTGTACAAGGTCAACAATAGCTGTTCCGTCGTTGGTGTACAAACGATAGATTTCTTTACGTCCAGGAATATTTATCTTGGCGACCTCTTCGCTGAGTTTCAATCGAGGTTCGTCATTAACTTCGACAAGCTGAGAAACAAAAAAGGTGACGTGGTAAATGAGTGAACGTTACTTTGCTCAGGAGTGAGTCTTCTTTACTTCTAAAGAAATATAACCTTCAAACCAGAGGTGGGCAATTACTTTTGTTAGTGGAACTCAATAGTGGGTTAATGAGAAGATTTCTAGGGGTACTTTTGTATGTTGCTGTTTCGGCCCAATGAAACTAGACGCCAATTGAAACGTAGATTTTACCTGATTTTGCGTTGTTGAGATTGTGATGCAACAATGTGAAATTCAAGGCTTTGCATACAAACTGTAAAATCACTAAAGACAGCGTGCTGCGAGCATTAAAGAATTAAGCTGATTGAAACTTGGGGAGAGATTTTAAGAATCCATTAGTTAGGCAGACAAGGGCATTAATATCAACATGACGATTTAATTTAGCTACATATGGTCAATAAATTGGTGTTGCAACGAATTGTTAGTCAATATATCAGTATATCACAACTTTGTTCGGTGTCTGATTACCAGGGGTACGCGTTGATTGTTTCGTGGCTCGGGGGGTACTTGACTGAAAAAAGGTTGAGAACCCCTGCTTTAGTGGGTCGGTTCCAGCCCGTGGGCCCTAATTTACCCACCCCTGCTTTAAACACACTTCTCATAATCAAACGTTCATATTTTACCTTAAACACGCATCCCAATGCAGGTTGCTTCTGACAGGTCACAAGATGTGTTCCAATTCCAAAGCTGTTAATTTCATGGCCCTGAAGTGAAAAAGAATATACAAATTTATTCTATTCGCCAAGATCAGATTTTAAAATAATAGGATATGATGCCAAGAAGAGAAAAGTCGATAAATAAGATTATTAAAATGGCATTTCATATGGTATCTAGTCTGGTCAGATATAGAAATAGCAATTGCAATTGTTTCATTGCTTAGACTTGCGTGGCAGAGGAAGCCCTAACAGACCAGAGAAGAAAGCCGAAAGGATGGCTGAATCATATGATGAACTATATGGCAACTTTTCATGGCCTGTTTATCTTTATAGTGTTATTTTGATTGGTAGATTCCAAATCCCAACAGGTTCAAACAATCCATGCTCAACAAAGAAAAACACCCGCAAAAGCAATAAAACCATGAAGAGCGGAAGGTTTCCTGAGTGAAAAGTAAGATCAGTTTTGTGCTTATCATCGTGGCCCCCCTCCAACTTCTCTGTGACCCCCCTCGGTAACCGCTGTTTTGGTATTCGCCGGATGAGAACAGAACAGGCCTAAGTCACAATTTTGAGTTTTGAGAAAAACGCAAAAAACAATTTGGAATTTTTTTATTTTTGAATTTCTAGATATTCACACTTAGTAAAGTCCTGAGCTCTGGTTATTTTAATGTGAATGAGAATATTATTGTAATCAATATTTTTTGGCACTTCAGTTTCATTTCCTTCCTGCTTTTTTACCCCCATAAGAAACTTTGGCCCATTCTGTTCTCAACAACTTCTGAAATTTTTTGTATTGGATGCAAGGTAAAACAAGGTGACTTAGGCCTAAGTTGCATTGAACAAATTTTCATGGATGTAAGTTTTGGACATATCATTTCTGATGTTTATGCCCATCATGTTGGAACTTAGGACTATATTTTTTTAATATTTTGGGGTTTCGTGCCATGCTCTACAAGGTGGTGGTCTTGAAATCCTGAATTTCTCAATAATAAAAATTTTAGCTGGACTTAGGCCCATTCTGTTCTTAAATATTTTAGTCCTAAGTCCAGCTAAAACTTTTATTATTGAGAAATTCAGGATTTCAAGACCACGACCTTGTAGAGCGTGGCTCAAAACCCCAAAATATTGAAAAAAGTCAATTTTCTAAAAATGTGACTTAGGCCCCTTCTGTTCTCATCCGACGAATAGCCTTACGCCTAGTATATAGTTCAGGCCAGATGTAGGAATAGTTTTTACTGTTTAAGATGCGAGGACTCTCAGATTATAAAAAGCCATAACCGACCACGGAAGAGGGAAATCGGCAACCTAATCATATGGTATCATATTAAAATCTTCTGGGGGATAATCATGTGCGAGGGGATTGCTAGACTCTTCTCAGTCGTAGGGTGGTTCGCGTAACGGTACTCCCGAAGTATGTGAACAAAGATGGCAAACACCGGAACGTAGTATGTGTACCATGCTAGGGTTAGGCCATAATTTCAGGTACAAAATGCGGGAGTCACTTGGCTAGTCCCCGTGGCCCGAACTGTAATGTCATGGGAGGATTGCTGGACTCTGCCCAGTCATAAGGTGATTCCATAACTGCTGGTCGGTTACGACTTCCTCGACCATCAAGTCCATGCATCTGAAACAAATAGTTGGTTTACTATTCCCAAGAACTGGTAACAGTAAAATAAATATGGAAATGCTAATATCAAATTGCTCTTGTAAGAACTATGGTGGATATCAGTATCACCTTGAGTAAAGTTAGGGAGCATGCTGACTAATTATCGCATCGCATGCAATAAATATAAATTTCAAACTTTCTAAATTTATAAGATGCATGAAAATTGATTGCAAAGAGATTCCGAAGAATTGCAAATAATTTAATGAAGAAAGGGTTCAAGGGTTTATTCCTCTAACTATGTAACTTTTTCTCTTAAATTATTGGTATGTTATTGTATTATGAGAAAAAAATGGATAAAATAATAAGAATTAAATTTGTTATCACCATAATCAGCATAACATAATTGATAGAAGCAAAGTAATGAAATCACAGAATCATGAGAGCAAATAAAATTTAATAAGGTTGCAAAATGTAAATGAAAAGGTGTCGCCAATAGAAGTAGTATGTGTTCGTTCGGTACTCCCAAAGTATGTGAACCAAGATGGCAGATATCAGAACGTAGTATGTGTACCAGGTTAGGGTTAGGCCAGAATTTCAGGTACAAATACTACATGAGTCACTTGGCTAACTAATCCTAACCTGGTACACATACTATACTCATAATACAATAACATACCAATAATTTAAGAGAAAAAGTTACATAGTTAGAGGAATGTATTTTTCACAAAGTACAACAGGCTAACTAACAGCCAACTTATTCACATCACAGGTGATACAAAACAGTGAAGTCAGAGAACCAACTGTTCATCAGATTGAGAGATCTTAAACTTTCTAAATTTAGAAGTCTAGGTACACGGAAATTGAATGCAAAAATTTTAAGAAGGGATTTATATGTGAGCGAACACATACCACTTTCTGTTTGCTCTCCTGATTATATGACTTTTACATTTTTGATTTTATTAGTTTATTGCTATTTATTATTATGCTGGTAATAGTGCTGATGAACTCAATTTTATTATATTTTTTCAGTTTCCTCTCATAATTCAAACGAAAAAGTTACACAGTTAGGAAAAAACATTTTTCATAAAATATAGCCAACTCATTTACAGCATAGGTTATGCAAGGGTAGGTCGACCTTGCAGTCTCGCCCATTCGATTAAATTTTATGACAATTGCTTGTTTATTCTTTTTACTGCGATATTCGGGAATAAATCATTATCGCTCTCTCTTTCTCTATACGTAACTGTGAAGTCAGAGAAATGTCCCGACAGATCCAGAGCAGGACACTAGCAGAGAAGCACCAAACCATGCAATTAAACCTATTTGGTTGGGTCCTATTTTCTCTTTTACGAAAGTTCCTATGTCTAAAGGCGGTCTATATTAGTGGTTCTTGAAATCTTATGACCCATGGCCCCTCGCAAAGACTCTCAACATTTTTGGTCACCTGATATTCTATAAAAACCTACTTTTGCTTTTAAAGCATTTCCTCATTTAAAAAAGCCAACAAACAAAATTCAAAGAATGAATGCAATACAGTCAAAAAATTAAACAAAACACAGATAATTTATTTTAAATTTCTGTATTCATCGCAAGTAATACCAAGATACAGCCATAACTACAAAAGACTCGTTCCAGAGCACCCACGGGCACGGGACTAAGTTTGTGAAACTCTGGGGTTTATACTCTAAATGTGCTCGATTAGAGAATAATTAATTATTAGCTACTAATTATTTCATGCCAATAAAATAAAATGAAACCTTGAATTTAGAATTCGCCAGAGGTCTCTGAAAACATGACAATATTATAGTTGTTAGAAAAAAATATTTTGAAAAGATCATGAAAAAAAAATTCATGCGAAATGATCGAAAGACATTCACGGGATAGGAAAGCTGACATGATCTAAATCAGCCTATTCAGGGGCTCCTAACTATATACAAGCAAGCTGGTAAAAGTAAATGGTAGGGGGTGTGCAACCTGCAACCTGTGGGCCAAATTCGACCTGCAGGACAAAATTGGGCACTCTCGTAGTATGGGAACCAATATGGTGGACACCCGAACGTAGTATGTGTACCAAGTTAGGGTTAGGCCATAATTTCAGGTACACTTACTATGAGAGTCACTTGGCTAGTCCACGAACTCCTAATAGAACTAAAATGAGGAAAATTGGAATAAAATTATGGCCTAACCCTAACCTGGTACACATGGTGCCGTATTGGTTCACATACTACAAGAGCGCCCAAAATTGTGCAGCCCATGAAAAAGTGACAATTTGAATGATTGCAGCCAGCAAAACAAGTTTTTAATTTAGTTTAATCTAGTACGTGCGAGTAATTCCAATCCCTTTGTGTTGCAAAGCCAATACCTTCCTGAGTCCAATTCATTATCTATGCATATGATGTAACAATGCCCTAACATCTAGCTTGCGCCTGTAACTACTAGAAAGCCTATGTTAAATAAAGGTGCGGTCCGTGGTTTCACCCAGACATTTGTATCTGGCCCTCCTGTATTAAAGGTTGCACAACCCCTGGTTTAGGTGACTAGAGTCGCTTTTAGCCATTGATTAAATGACGCCAAGATCCTCCACAATACTAGCAAGATAGGAATTCCATATTAATACAAGGGGAAATAAAAGCTTACAATGCGAATCACAATTCAACTGTTAGTTCAGATTATGTATGATTCAAACTTTCCGCTCTGAACAAAGCCATGCAGGGACGTAACCAGAAATTTTCAAAGGGGGGGGGGGGGGGGGTTTATGAAATTTCTATTTGCCAAGTTAGATTGAAACAGCTAGTGGCAACGATCGAAATATGTGTTTTCATGAATCTGAGGGTTTAAAAAGCATTTCAAGCTACGAAAAATTGCTATGTATGAGACAAAAAGATGCTTTTTTTATTTGCATTCCAAAAGGTAAGGGTTCCGACCCCCAAAATCACCCCCCGGCTACCCCCCTGAAGCAATGTACAAGCGGCCACTGAAATCTAATAATATGTGATATGTAGGGCTTTAATCCAAATGAGTAATACTTGAAAAAAAATTGTTTTTCAGAAAACGAGGCAATCATACTTTTTTTAGGCCTCAAACATCTCGTTTAATTGGAATTCTTCGGTGATATCGCTTCAAACGTTGATTAGATACCAGTTTAAAAAGTAGCTTTTTCTTTTTAATAATTTCAGATAAAAAAATTCCTACATTTGCCTTTTGTATTGTAACACTCGGTGTATGTTAGCAAGATAATTAGGTAACTTACCTGTTCTTTAAGCGATCTCAGAGTATCTTCATTTATGTCATTACTTGCAACAATGTTCATATTCTTGAACCAAGGTAGATTGAATCTGTGAAGGAATGAGAAAGCTACGCTCAAATATATCGTTGGTTAAATGACTAACGTATATCTTCGCATATAAGCCAACGTTGAGACTCAGAAAAAAAATAACCAAACTAAAGTGTCTGCTTATACACTCATAACTCTGATTGCACTCAAACGAAATGACATTATGCTAACTCCAGCATTTACAACTCGGCCATGCTGAGTTTTAACAAAAAGACCATGTACGCACACACGCGAAGCCGGCTTGGTATGCTATGACAGCGATAACAGTCTGTGGTGGTTGTCATACACATGATCACTTGTGTGTTTTGTAAGGTCGGCTTATGCGAGGATATACAGTAATATAGTTACCGCAATTTGGGCAAGCCAAATGTCAAAAGAATTTCGTCGGTGGTTTATAAATGTGTACTTATGAATTAGAACACAGAAAACAGAAAAATTTGAGATGAAATATCACTCCCTATAGCACAAAATTGAAACTGATTCCTACATTAGCAAAGTGAAGCTATTTTTCTCAAAAATAACCCCCAAAAAAATAACAACAACTTTTCGAAACGATCTACAGGGCACTACAAGGTAATCATGAGCATGCCAGGCTTTTTTTCGAATAAAAACCAATGTTTGAAACAGTTTTCAAGTTCACAAACCTTTCAGAAATCTTGACAAACGCTTCTCTGCATTTGACAGAAAGATACGCAAGATCCCCGCTGTCCAGTCGAACTCCAACAGATTTATAACCGATCTCGTTCAATGCCAAAGATACCGCAATGAAATTAGGGAGGCCACTCCTATGAAGAAAAAAAAACAAATTTTGATTAACGAAGGCTTTTGTAAGAATGAGGAGTCGGATTTAAACGCGTCTCCGACTCGAAACTATTGAAATGAATTCAGCACAGATTCCAAATTTTGAATTCTGCTTAAACTAAATTTAAAAGCAAAGAACATTGGCTTATGCAAGCAGTCTTCAATTGTTTATCATGGATGCTCACCAAGGTGTAAGGCAGAGGTGTGCAACCTTTAATAAAAGAGGGCCAGATACAAATTAATGGATGAAACCGCAGGCCGCAAGCCCGCACCTTTATTTGATATAAGCTTTCTACTAGTTGCAGGCGCAAAAATAAGGAATGCAACAAAATAGGAAGGCAACCCCCATGTATAAAAAACAAATTTGGATTATTGAAGTGACTTTTGCAAAGCAACTCCCGACTCTAAATCATTTAAAATACAGCAATATTTTGGAGTCGGACTTCAGCAACTCATAGAAAACCAAATTGTAACACTAGCAAGGAACACTGCATCACATAGCCATAGGGGCCATGGCCCTTCAAAAAATTGTCCCCATTTTTTTTAAATGCAATTTTGCGGCATTTGAAGCGAGAGATAAATTTTTACGTCTTTTTTAACATTATTTTGCTTCTTTAAAGGGTGGCTGCTTTTATCTAGCTTTGTCTGAAGCAAACCTCCGAGTCGCTAAATGAGATAATTTACTCAGAAACATCAATCGGCAAATATCAATGCCTTTCTTGTTTTTATTTTTATAAATTTACGTTGGGGTTCCGTAAACGATAGTCAACCTTTTCACAGGGTCCATAATATCAAAAGGTTGAGAACCTCTGTCATAAGCGATTAGGTATGCAATGCTGAACCACAAAGGTCTTTCCAAAAATAGTCACATATCAATAGAGCTGAGTATTTCGAATACCTGATGATTTCAGAACTGAGTCGAATCTTAAATATTTGAAAGATATGTAGTTGTATTACCTGTTTCATTGTAATGAGTCTTTTATTGTCACATGTCAGAATTTAAGAGTCACATGTTAGAATTTTAAAAATTTGATATGAAAGAAAAATGAGAGATTCACCTCAACTGTGGGCGGACAAAGATGGCGATGATTCAATATTCTCGTCTTAACCAATTCAAAATTTCCAGCCTTACATATCAGTACATGCTTACACATGCTTAGCTTAGCTTGAAGTAAAAATATAAAAATCACCTCAAAACATTGTAGGTATCCAAAAGACATAATAGCAACTTTGGGAAAGCGATAGCATAAGCAATGAATGCTGCTAGCTCTCCTTTGTTAGTTTCATCAGCGATAATTCCGAGATCTGCCGCAATTTCACGAAGATATTTTAAACATAATTCAACAAAATCAGTGCTGGTTTTTTTCGTGGATGAACTTTCGGGGTTCGGTAATAAGATCTGTAAATATCAATCGATTATTTTATTTCGGTTCTCTGACATAAACAACACAAAAAGTAAACAGACAAACAAAATGCAGAGATACTTTAGAAGTGAGCATAACTTAAAATAAAGTTTAAAATTGTACAAGTACGTGCCTACCCACCAAAAAATAAACAAGCACACAAAGAAGTGGACACGATTCAGAAACGTGTAATACTTTCAACACAATTTAAAATGAGAAAACACATAACAACCAAATAGAAAAGGCATTAATCATTACTAAAAAGCTAAAAAAACTAAAACTGCAGCCTAGCATTTACAGCAATATAGCGTTCCAAATGATAAAAGCTCCTTATATATCATTAGAAGTACGCGGCTGCTTATACAGTGCCTTGTACGTTGTATGTGCCTTGTTTGGAGCGAAAGACATGAATAACCATCTCTATGTACCTGGCGAGGTATCTCCTTCAAACTTTGAAAGCTGTTGACAAATGCATGAGCATGTGTCCCTCTAACTGGAATTCCAAATGTCTTGCCAGCAAGTACGTTACTTGTCCCATCAAAACCTAAAAATGAAGAAATATAAACAGTTAGAAATCAGAATGGCTGGAAAACTAACGCGTACGTCTAAACTTTTTCAAATTCAGTACAACCCAGGAAAAGCTTATTATCAGCATAGGTATGATAAATAAAATTAAAAAAAAACCGTTTGATTAAACACCATCTTAACATATTATTACATATCATTTGGCTCGGCGATGTGGTTTATCGCATTAGGACTCTCGCCATCGAACTTCTGATTACCCTAGGTTGGTTCACAGGTTCGAATCCCATGCGCGGATAGTTATGTGCGAGAGGATTCCTGGACCCCTCACTGCCGTAGGATGCTTCATGTAACTGCTGGTCAGTTACAGCTCCCTCCACCATCAAGTTCATGCATCTGAAACAAATACCTAACCAATCCCATACCCGACATGGAATGGTAACCGGACGAGAGGCTGTGGTTCGCAATGGGTTTTCAACTGTCTCATCAGCTTTCCTCTCCCCTGGGATAAATATGTAAATCATATTGTATATATCAGTGGTTGCTAATATAGGGCCATGATTGGAGAGAAATGAGTAACAGAAAAAGGATGCTCACGTAGTATGTGAACCAAGATGGCGGACACCGGAACATAGTAAATGTACCAGGTTAAGGTTAAGCCATAATTTTTTCCAATTTTCCTTATTTTAGTATTATTACTAGTTCCGGTGCTAGCAAAGTGACTCCCGTAGTATTTGTACCCAAAATTATGGCCTAAGCCTAACCTAGCACGCATACTATGTTCCAGTGTCCGCCATCTTGGTTCACATACTACATGAGTACCGTAAAAAGTACTAACAGTGTCAGTCAATCTAAATTAAACACTGTGATGACATAATTAGAAATGATACGACAAGGCGAGTCACCAACATACGGTCACGATATCGAATAAATTTCATAAACAGGAAATGATGTTTAATGACATATGTTAGAATTAGGCCAACACAGCAATGTCCGGAAATATATTCAGCATGTTGAAACTAGCATATCCATGTTTACTTTACATTTTCATTTTTACATGTTCTCATGTTCTGTCCAGGTGATTGTCATCCTGGGGTAACTGTGTTCTAATCTTATTTCCCACTCTTTAACTGACCAATGACAGCAGAGCATGATGGCATGGCATTATGGATGAAACCATTGAAGCATGCTTTCTTTCTAAATAAGACAGGATTTACATGTTTATCCCGGGGAGAGCAAAACCGATAAGACGACTTAACCATATGGCGAACCACAGCCTCTCGTCCGGTTATCATTTCAAGTCGGGTATGAGATTAGTTAGTTATTTGTTTTCTGAAGTATGGACTTTGAAATACTGTCATGCTGGTCTTCAGAGGTCATTCAATACTTTGGTGTCTTATGTCTGACTTTTATTTTGTTATCTGTGGTGACAACTGAACTGTTTATGTTAGGTTTTCCTTGTGTTCAATAAAACAGTAATTCACACCAATGAACAATTTGTTCATTCCTGAATATACACAAGAAGCTCGTGTTTATGTAACCATTGACCTCAGAACAAGTTGTAACATTGTTTGGATTGCAATGTCTTACTTAAAACATTAATATTCAATAAAATCTTCGGCGCTCCAGAAGTGTGCGTACCAATATGGAGGTAACTAATTCAAGCTTATATCTACTAAACCTATGGGCAGGGAGTATATTCACTTGGCTAACACAGACAGTCCCCGAACTTGTAATAGAACTAAAATATGAAAATAAAAATAAAATTATGCCTAACCCTAACCTGGTACACATACTATGGTAGTACCAAATTTACTCAGGTTTTATCAACAATATACCAAGTTATGTTTCAATACCAGACATGGAATGTATTCTACAACCAACAAGAATAATAATATCTTTGATTTGTCAATTCTTGAAAATACAACATGCGATTCACTCAAGAACACCTGCTGGCCCCATAAGCCCATTTTACAACAGGAAAAAACTCAATTTTCTGTTGGGCCATATACAGGGCAGGAAAAGCAGAAAATTTGAAGGTCACAAATAAAATTTGTATAGGTTTAGATTGAATCAGAACGATAATTCATAAGTTTACTATCCAAAACACTACACGATAGGATAGGATAGGATTTACATATTTATCCCGGGGGAGAGGAAAGCCGAAAAGACGGCTTATCCATATAACGAACCACGGCCTCTCGTCCGGTTACCATTCCAAGTCGGGTATGGGATTAGTTTTACTGTATTGTTTGTTTGCGGAAGCATGGACTTGGTGGTGGAGGAAGCCGTAACCGACCAGCGGTCACGTGAACCACCCAACGACGGCGAGGAGTCCAGCGATCCTCTCGCACATAACCATCCCTGCATGGGATTCGAACCTGCGAACCCACGCAGAGTAATTAGAGGTGCGGTGGCGAGCGTATTCCTAACGCTTAGCCCGTTGAGCCACACCGCCGCGCCGAGCTTGGACTTCTAGGTTAAGACACTGCTCCGAAGTGCACGGACTACATTTTGAGCATCTATGAGTGTAACATAACATATGTCTTTAAATAAACTTCATGAAAAATAAATACCTGTTTGGCAAATTTACTGTTTTCCTAGCGACCACCCTGTATTATATCTACCTGTAATTTGCATTTTGACTATTGTACAGTTTGGAAAGTTGGTAATGAATGCGTGAATAAGTTTTACAATAACACTAAATACCGGTAGGTAAAAAATATTAGTAAAACTGCATCAATTACAAAAGTACTATTTCAGCGTTTCCTCCTCTGCTGGAAAAACCATCATAACTAAAGTTTGAAATCTACTGAGTAGAGACACGACCGAAACACGCCCTCCTTCCTAGCATGGAGCTTAATCATTGATTATTAATCTTTAGCTAGCAACTTGCACTTTGCCTTTTTGAAAAATTTTAATATTTTATAAGAATCATGAATATATATTACAATAACTAAATAAGCAAACAATATTATTATTACAACCAGACCGAATACAGAGTAAATTTCTTCATACCTCCCATAAAGCAGTACTTTGAAGCTGACAGTCCTCCATCAGGGCCTTGTGCTCTTCTTAGTCCAAATTCTAGTAATTGTATATCATCACCTACTACCATTCGAAACCGGGATGCATTTGTTGCTACAAGACTGAAATGAAAATAATAAGTTTCGATGAACTTTTTAATTTGCCTATTTTTATTATAATAACTATCATAATACATATTTGACAGGGAGTAACACAGGAGTTCAAAGAGGGCGTTCTGAATGTTCTAATTGCCAAGCTAGACAGTATTTGCTAGCGGGCCCCATCGATGGCCGAAAACGTAGGTTTTCGAAAGTGTCTCGAGGGTCTAAAATGCAGATACAGAGGGAGCTCAATCCAAGACCCACCCCCACCTAGCCTGCCTACGCCTCACAAAATGTATCAGAAAAAATAACACTGTTAGTAAAACAAAAAATATAATTGTCTTCTTACATTTTCTAAAACCTTGTTAAGATCAAGGGTGAACTTCTAAAAAAAAATTCGAAATTATGAAAATAACAGCTACCTTGCATAGTTAATGAGATTCAACAGTGTTGTTTCCATCAGCTGAACAACAGGTAAAGGGCCTTCGATTCGTACCAAAGGTATTTTCGGAAAAACAACATAGCCCTCTGGAATCGCCCAGAGAGATACCTGTAAATATTTATTTATTTGAGAGAATACATCGCTCCAACCTATTAAATGGGTGCAAGGATTATTAAAGTGCTATGGTATATTATATACTTTTGCATTTGCTATTAAAGATTGGTTTTTTATTAATACGGCTACTACTTAAATGCCATGAGCTACTGAAACTGTACAGAATTATATCGGTATATTGCACATTAGTTTGTAGGCCTACTTATTGAAGTGACAGTTTAAACAGTTAGAGCAGTCATTCTCAAACTCCCCCATTTTGGATTTTGTCAAGTCTCGCGCCCCATCTCATAAATAACTAGCTAATAATAAGTTAAAAATAACAGATAGTAAGGTGAAAGTATGTTTTATTCAAAAACAATATGTTGAAAATACGTGGATGGAATATAATATTCAAATTGAAGAAACGTAAATATCCAAAAAAGATCAAATCCAATCCAAAGCAAGATCAAATCCAACAAATATTTTTATTTTTTGTAAGTTTCACGCACCCATCAAAAATGTGTGGGGCACCCCCTCACCAGTTGTTTACCACTGAGTTAAAGTTAACATGATCAGAGAAACGACCTCATACCTGCGAGGCATCAATAGCTGATAGATATGTGAAAAATTCTTCTTCAATCGGGCCAGGTAGGACGGAACGTAAATACTCAATATCTGAAGACAAAAATTTATATGATCACTAGTTGTATTGATTTTGTACTCATGTTATTACGAAAATTTTCTCCAAGCAAGGAAAGGCTCTAAGTGAAGAAGACTCTTTGCTAAGTGAAGTTACCGGCACTCAGAACGGTGCTCCCGAAGTATGCGAACCAAGATGGCGGACATGGAACGTAACATGGGTAACAGGTTAGGGTTAGGCAATACTTTTTTTTCCAATTTTCCTTATTTTAGTCCTATTATCAGTTCGAAGACTAGCCAAGAGCCTTCCGTAGTATTTATACCTAAAATTATAGCCTAACCCTAACCTATTACACATATTACATTCCTATGTCCGCCATCTTGGTTCGCATACTTCGGGAGCCCCCTCAGAACTACTGACTCTATTGGCTTTGACATTTTCACACCACCACTCCACCAGTATATACAGAGGTGATATAATAACATCTATGTACCAAAATAATACCTGAATGTGAAAATTTGAAATTCGCAAGAAACTTAACACATTCTTCCAGACCAGCAAATATTGCGTATTCCCCACGGAAAGGATTCTTTCTGAAGAAAAGATCGAAGACTGCGTGATCGTTCATTTTCCCATTCTTCCAGTAGGCATAAGCCATTGTGATTTGGTACAAATCTGGATAATAAAATAGATTCAAAATTTTACATAAGAAATAGTTTCATTCACATGATGAATTCATATTTTTGACAATATTGCCTAAATTTTGATAGGACTACCTGTCAGAATTAACATTTTCGATAGCATTTGAATTGGCGTCTATATTTTTAAATAAAACTAAAGAAACCATTCACCAAATTTTTCCTAAAATATTTTGACATTCCAGTGTCACAAAAACAGAGTCAAGATAATTCATCACTGCCGAACTTTATTAAACCTCAAAAAGCAATTGGAATCATGATTTTCTCAAACCTTAAGTTTGAAACAGAGCATTCTTTCAAACTGAGGTCTAATGAAACTCGAAAAACGGTTCCATTACATTTGAACCCACGTACATTTGAACCCATGACAATTGCACCTGTATGCTATTGCACCTATGGAATTTTTTTTGTTTCACGGATAGTTAAACCCATACTAACCCTAACCCATGGGTTTTAGCACCCGCATATAGATTGAACCTGTGGATATACGCATGGGTTCAAATGTACATGGGTTCAAATGTACGGTCACCCCGAAAAACAGCTTTGAGTCACGTCTGATAAGTTTGCGTTGACTTATTAATTAACATATCAAATTGCAATTCATATTGGGTCTGGGCAAGTAGGTTCCATATTTGAATTTCCACTTTCTCAGATCTGGTTAAGGTTAAATCTTGGCAGTGACATTATAAACGTACAAGGGTGTTTGTAACGCTACAACTTTTATTTCATTATGAAGTCAGTTCTCAATATATCTTAACCAGGTTTGTTTTATTTTAATCAGTGTTTATTCAAGTTTTTTACTTCGTTTAATACGCATTGAAGGGCCAATAAACTACATAAGAAACAATAAATTTCCCTTACCATTTTTCAGTTTTTACGAAATTTAAAATACCCTATGTACATTTTGTATATTTATCACACCTCAAAAGTTTAATATGATGTAAAATTAAATAATTATTAATATTGATCAATCAAATAAATATAATTAACATTCCCTTACCAGTAAGTAATGGTTGCACCACGCCATTGCTTGGTACGACGCAACCATTTGCCCCAGCATGGCCATTGTTCATTTTGTTTGTTGAATTTATCGATTTGTCGCCAGAATCCATCTCATTCAAGAGTAAAATATAATTCTTGTAAATATTTATATAAAAACTTAGGCTATATCTTAAAAAAAAATAATGGAGTTGGTCTGTCTGAAATTTAGGCAGGGATATACAAACGTATCAAATATTCCAGTATTTAAAACATTCTAAATTTGCGATATTCAATACAGTAAATATATAAGATTTATGAACTTGGAAAGAATAATGAAATGTTTTCCTCTTGAAAATATAACACTATGAGCAATTCAGCAATTGGTCAGACGTAAAGTAAACTCCATTTAACTTCGGACACTGTAAAAATAGAAAAATCGGGGCTCCCGAAGTAAGCGAACCAAGATGGCGGACATCGGAATGTAATATGTGTACTAGGTTAGGGTTAGGCCATAATTTTAGCCATAAATACTACGGAAGGCTCTTGGCTAGTCTTCGAACTGATAATAGGACTAAAATAAGGAAAATTGGAAAAAAATTATCGCCTAACCCTAACCTGTTACCCATGTTACGTTCCGATGTCCGCCATCTTGGTTCGCATACTTCGGGAGCACCGAAAAATCAATCGAAACAATGTTTACAACTATTTTGAATTACTGAATTAAATCAAGGCAAGTCAAGATAATTTTTTCCAACCAGTGAAAAATTGCACTCGCCAGCTCGAGCACAAATTACGGGAGAATGATAATTTACACAGTCATACTGGTGAAAGAAAATCTCGGAAAATCTCTGGTTATCGAGCAACGACACCAGAGGTTCGAATATCAGAAATTTTTTGTTAAAAAAATTTTTAGTTTTAAAATTTAAGTTATTGATGGTAAGTATCATACGAATTTTACAAATTAGCCAACTAACATCGATTATTAGAGATAGGTTATTACGTATTACGAGGAATTATCATGTATTATTGAACCATAAGACTCACGAATGCCTTGGGAATCTACATTTCTACTGCTGTACTGGATTACTGGATAAAGCATGTGAAGCAAATATTCTGAAAAATAGTTTGAGAATTTCAAAGGTGACCTAGCCATTCACATGGTTGCAATGTGAAGTGGTAGACAATGGCCACAGATAAAATAAATCAGGTACAATTAATACAGAAATAAAATAATCTAGGTGTTGAGATGAAGGATATTTACATTTGATCGTTACAGGTAAACGCCAGCGGTAGCTGAACCTAACGGCTTGTACTGTTGTATCAGGGAATTCTGGAATTTAAAATATATTGATGCACTAAAATATGGTTCACACTTGGATTGAAAAAAGATAGGATAGGATTTACATATTTATCCCGGGGGAGAGGAAAGCCGATAAGACGGCTTATCCATATGGCGAACCACGGCCTCTCGTCCGGTTACCATTCCAAGTCGGGTATGGGATTAGTTATATTGTTTTGTTTTCGGAAGCATGGACTTGGTGGTGGAGAGGCCGTAACCGACCAGCGGTTACGTGAACCACCAAACGATGGCGAGGAGTCCAGCAATCCTCTCGCACATAATCATCCCTGCATGAGATTCGAACCTGCGAACCCACGCAGAGTAATGAGAGGTGCGGTGGCGAGCGTATTCCTAACGCTCAGCCCGTTGAGCCACACCGCCGCGCCAGATCGACAAATAAATCTGTAAGCTTATTCGGGAATGTTATAACCTAGCCCCAGAGGCGTAGCCAGCGTATTTTGCGCCCGGGGCAAAATATAAAATTGGCGCCCCGACCCCCACGTTCAATCATGTTTTCTATTGCATTTAATTGTATATGTAAAAACAAATTATATATCGTCACGCTAATAACCGAATTGCGTAAGTCATTTTTAGCTGTTTTGAGAAAAACGTAAAAAAACTTCCTAATGATATTTCTATGCCATTGAGATTCATTAATTTGCCATAGTTAAACTTTTTGATCGTAGCCGGATTTAAGTTAATTTGTATGACGCAGTCATGTGACGTCATAATAGCGCACTGTGACTTAGGCAAAAATGTGTCTATTACTAGGGGACATATGCAATTTTGCAACTTGACTATATGTACCAGTCCTGAAAACCAAACAATCCCTAATCTGTTTCAACAACATTATTTTTTATGTTTAAAAATATATATTTCATCAATATAACACGCTCTGCACACTCATAGAAATAAGACTAAAGTTAAATATAAAGAATAAAACATTAATGTACCCCTATATAAAAGTCAACCAAAGTGAATTGGACTCACAAGTGCACGCCTTCCTATACAGTAGTATAAATTGAAAATTATTAGCGCTAAGCTAGAATCTGAGATGCAAAAACTCGAAAACTATTTTGCCTTTTGCAAAGCTATACAAAATAGAGCATATGTCCCACTCAGTTACTGTCAAAGATGATTTACATAGTCTACAATAAATTCATTTTTTCAATTTCACTTTCGTAAACTGGTTAACACGTCGTCAAAATCTGTTTTTTTCAAATGTTTCTCTTTCAACATTTAGAAGTGCAAAATCACTGAGACGATCCTGTCCCGTTGATGCACGCGAATACGACAAAATAAGTTTCAATTTGCTGAAAGACCGTTCACAGCTTGCAATTGAAACTGGTATTGTTAACAAAATTTGTAGAGAAATTCGCAGATTGGGTAAAACGTTGTCTCAAAAAGACACAATAAAACCAAGAAGAGCCAAAGGAGTTTCTGGTTGACCTACAGTTCTGCTACTGAGCAGCATTCTGCAATCTTCAATTTCGGGGAAAAGTTCGTGGCCATTGATGTCCGTGTCGTAGAAATTTGCAAAACCTGTGCAATCTCGACGAATTGTCGAAAACGGCATTGGGGTCTTTTAGCACAGTATAATATATTTTATGTAACTCTGCCGCAAAGTACGTTACTTTGACAACAGCGAAATACAAAACCACGTATTACTCAAAACATGTTTCCGTTTGTCTCCAGCACAGAACTAATATCAACTTACATCGGAGTGCGCAGGCAAGAACTTAACGATACAGAACCACGTCATTAACCCGGTGCATTTTGTTACCTAACGTTACCAAATCAATTTTTGCTTTGTTTTCCGGCCAGATTTTTTGGCCATGTAATTACGATGGAAATCTGACCGTGCGCGAGCTATGTGCGTGATGATGTCGGCAGTCGTAAGTGGTCTGACCAAGTTTGCAGTGTGCCATGTACTAAGACTAGATGTCTGCCGCCGGTGCGATCTTGCTTGTGACTGTATTTTACCCTTGTGAAATTTTTGCAAGCCCCATTTTGGCGCCCCTGTACCTTGGCGCCCGGGGGCATATGTACCCCACTGCCCCCCCTAAGCTACGCCTCTGCCTAGCCCATATCTATTTCAGACATAACAGTACGGTATACTTTAAAACAGTACCGGTACTGTACTATGGTACTAGAATATATCAGTGTATCTACCTAGCTAACCTAGAACTACAACCGACAGACGCAATCAACAGTCAGACGTGTGATGAAACCGAAAGACCCGTCTTTCAGTCGACGAGATTCATTCAGATATTCTGATATCAGTGGCACTGTGGCAGTAGTGGATTACACCGCACACCATTTGATAACTAGGAATCCAAAACCTTATACAAAAAGTTCCTGAAGTATCATAAAATCCAATATCCGACAGCCCAAAAGCAGAAGTCTTCACTTTTAAATAAAAATACTAACTTTGCACCGCCCCCGCAAAGAACGCTGAAATGCGAACGTTGGTTCCAAACTAGGGGATTTCCCCAAGCGCGTTTTTGCAAAAATATTTTTACGGTTCATGGTTTTACAGTTTTTAGGTGTGTTTTTTGAGCTAATTTCACTTTTGTAGTTATCAGAGGAAGAATATGTAATGAATAATATTTTCAATGGTGTGCAAATCTAATTATCACACGCTGTCACTGTAAGAACCTCATTTATGATAGAATATCCACATTTACCAGGGTGTGCATATATACGATAATATGGCATGATCATACGACGAACAATTATCTTTCGTTCGTTTGCCAGACGCCAGTCCATGTCAGATATAGGAATAGTTCATCAGTTACTCGGTTTATTTGATGGTAGATGGAAGTTCAAGCGAGTAGGGCTGGGCATTTCGAATCGAGTAGTAAATAATTCGAATCGGTTCAAAGCAAAATTTCGAATCGCCGCCATCTTGTTTTTTTTCTTTCCGACAATAGTCCAGGTAAATTTCTAAATTTTTTTATTGAAGCCATATTTTTTCAACGCAATTGTGACATATAACTCTTTTCTGTAGTGAGTTATTGATCAATTAAAATTGTCACTCCCCCCCCCCTCCTCAAAAATTCCTAGCTACGCCCGCTCATTATTGGCTCACTAATAAAATCCAAAACAAAATCATTGAGCAAACTTCAAGCGACACGCGGTTGCATGAACCACCCCGCGACCAGGTCTCTAGCGGTAATTATCTGGGATGCAAATATGTAAAGCCGTGAAGGGTATCGATATAAAAACGCTTTTATCGTTACCTAAAATCTCCAATCCCCAAATTAGAATAACGTGGTTGGAGAGTCGAGTGAATTTCTATTAGACCACGCATTGCATGACAGGTCTGGAATGGTGGCAAAAAATAAAATTTCAATGTAAAAAGAAGTCAAAACCGACCTAGATTACTTGTAAATCTAAATCTCGCAAAATCTTCAGGGTTAAATCCTTTAGCCAGTTGCATATCTTTTTTAGTTTTGTGTCATTTTGGTATTTTTTTTAAGTTATATATATTAGGAAATTACTAATTATTCCGTATTGTATTTATTCAATCCGAATACAAGCTAAATATTAACCTTCTCTTGAGGCAGGGGTCGCCTACAGAGTAATATAATCAGGCCCGCGACGCTTCACTGAATTATAGTAACAAAAAGCTGTTTTGACGATTATATTCTTTACGCAACAGAATTTATTGTTGAGACACGTGTAAACTAAATTATATTATAACCTGACAGGTATATACTTCACAAAAACTTGTTTAATGAGTCTATAATCTAATGATAATTAGACAAATGGCAACAAAACGCCGAAAAGTTGATGCTAAGTGCAAAGGGTTCAATGACGCCGAAAATATTCAAATGGATTTGTTTG